TTTAGATGCAGCAAAGAGTTTCAGAGACATTTTATGATATTTGGAATCAAATCTGCTAAAGAGATTGTGCCAGACCAATGACCTCAGGACAGGTGGTGTCACCACGATGTCTCACCATTGTATTGTGTATGCAATGGCCCATTATATATTTGATTCAGTTGAGTACTTAATTTATGACAGCTGCTGCCTCTCCTACACATTGTTCTGTCACGCTATTGTTTTTATTTATTATTATTACTACCATTATTATTATTATTATTATTATTATGATTAAATTGGATAGTCTTTAGTCAATGAAGATTAAAATAATTATTTATTATTTTATGCATGGAATCACTTGATAAGGGACTTTCTTCATATACGTCTTATAATTATCTCCAAACTCTTTGATAAGTTGCGGCTCTTCAAAATAATGTACAGCAAGTGTCACATACGCTGTCATAAAGACAGCAATGAGTAGGTGACCAATGCTCATGACTGGTGTTATCCACAGACCCAGGATTAGGAAGAACATGGCAGGATGACGCACTAAACCATACACTCCACTAGTGACGAGACCTCCCTGGACACGAAACCACTTCTGTTCCCCAAACAAGAACTCTGCCATTATTTCGCCTCCGCACAGCTGAAACCTGTTAATGGAGAGCACAGCTAACCCGCCTAGCAGCCAACTGAGGACACAGACACTTTTAACAATAGCTTGGAGTAGAGGCCATCTTTCCACAGACCATAATGTGATGTGAGTCATTGGCTGCCAGCATAAAGAGATGAGCAGTAGAAGGACTGAAGCTGTGATTGCAAATATCGTAGAGAATTGTTTATCAACTGTACCCAGAGTTGAATTAATGGCTGCCTTGATACTGGGTCTTGCTAGTAGACTGTGAAAGAGGCAGAAGAGAGAGACCAGTACTAAGTTATTGAGTAATGGAGACCATGAAACTATAACTGGACTCAGTACTCCAACACGACTAACAGAGGAGAAGCTATGAGGAACCCAATCCAGCAGAAATAGAACAAAATAGACCATAGATACTCCAGAGAGGCCAGAAGATATGAAGGAGAGGAGAACAAAGAGAGAGGTGGAAACAGCCATCACTGCATGAATCATGCAAGACTACTAAACCCACACATTTATCAGTAGGTGTATCTGAGGTTTTTTAATCTCTCAAATTAGACAGTTTATCATAATAATAAGTGAAACAATGGTTGCTTTGATTGTTTTATAGGTCATGTAACTTCAACACAATTTGCTTCCATGAATTGCTGTCTAGCTTCATCTTTTCTGCCTAACATGCTCAACACTTCTCCATGATATTGCAATGAAAGAGCATCATCTGGCTGCAACTCAACAGCTTTGAGAGAAAGAGAGAGAGAGGGATTAAGAGGTGGGAAAATGGCAACAATGGCTACCTTTTTGATAGTCTTTTTCAGCAAGCTCATACAACTCTTTGACTTTATAAATGTTACCTCTATTAAGAAAAGCATGAGCTGCAAAAGGATTGATTGCAACTAAAAAGAGAGAGAGAGAGAGAGAGAGAATGAGCTCATATTGCTCTAGCTATGAGTCTATAAAGCTCTCACTTGCATGGTTGAAATCATCTAAAGCAAGATCATTGTTTCCCATAGCCACATAACACAAGCCTCTATTGATATAAGCCTCATCTTCATTGGGATACTTATCAATCACACAGGTAAACTTTGTACAAGCTTGACTGTAGAGTCTCTGCTGTAGCAAGATGTTACCAAGATTATACAGAGCCAGTGGAAAGGTTGGATTAAGTTGAAGTGCTTTCTCAAAGTCTCTGACAGCATTGAGAGAGTCACCAGTATAGTAATGAATGGTCCCTCTCTCAGTGTAATAGAGTGGAGATGGATCTATGCTGATGGCATGAGAGATGTCTAATAATGCACCAAAACTGTTTCTCATTTGTAGACTAATGATGGACCGAGCTTCTAATGCTGGAGTATAAGCTATGTGAGAGAAGAGAGGAGGATTAGTGAGTTATAAGTTGTAAATTATTATACTTACATTTATCGAGGGAGAGTACGTTGGTTAGTAGTGTCCAAGCTGTCATGAACTTTCCTTCACAATGTAAGAGAAGAGCTAAGTTAACTCTAGCAGCCAAACAGTTTGGATATTGATGAAGAACCTTCATAAAGTCACACCTACAGGGGAGGATATAATGACAATTTTGATTGGAATCAGCTTAAACTTTCTATGCAACATAAGTACCGTACATGTATATGCATTAAAAATCCATTACACCATTGTCACAAAATCCGTGACAATTTTGAGCAAATTAAAAAATTCGTATAAAATCTAATTTTGATTAAACTCATACTTTGCTTTCTTGTTTCCTCCTACTGTCAGATAGTCTACATAAACATTTCCTCTGCCAACATAAGCTTCAACAAAAGAAGGATCAAGAGAAATAGCTTCTGAGTAATGCTTTATAGCCAAATCAAGATCACCTAACCTTTAGTAGGAGGAAAAAATGGAGTAATATTCTTCCCCCCTCTCTCTCTCTCTCACTTGTGATGACAGTAAGCTATTGCTTGACACAATGAAGGATCTTTATCAAGTGTCTGTAAATTAACAAATAAATTAATAATTAAGTAAATAAATAGATTAATAGTTACTTTTCTTGCATTTAAAAAGTCCATTAATGCATTGAAGTAGTCATTCATTGACAAGTAGAGCAGACCACGATTGATATAAACCTAATTAATAATAATTAATTAATTAAAATAATGAATATTAATTACCTTGTGAGACGGATTATCTTCTATTAATAACACAACACTATAATCATCAATAGCCTATACAATTAATTAATTAATTAATTAATTAGATATTAATAAATATTAATTACTTTTGGTTTTTTATTAATTGCTTCATAACAGACTGCTCTATTAAACAGTATCAGCGTGCAGTGGGCGTGGCTTAACTCCAGTGCAGCTGTGAGGTCTTTAATAGCAACTTCATGGTACCCAATCTGGTGCCTCAACACACCTCTATAAACCATGAGGTCACATGACATCATATTACATCACATGACATCATATTACATCACATTACATCACATTACATCATCACCGTTACCTGTATAAATATGCCCTGATACTCCTGGGCTCAATGTTAATGGCTTCAGTGCAGTTCATTATTGCTTTTGATATTCGACCGTTCATTCCATAAAAAGCCGCTCTTGTCAGGTAACCCTGGGCAACAGGTAGTCACGGTTACAGTCGTCATAGCAACACTTACCTTCACGAGGTCTGGTTGGAGGGTGAGGGCGTGGCTAATGGAGAACATCCCACGGCTCAACCCTTGTTTAAGGAGGGACACCCCACGATAATAATGTGCCTAAAAATAGAACAAAATAATCCGTTACTATTAATAGTAACACTAACCAGAGCATTCTTTGGTTGTAAAGCGATGACGCTACCAAACTCTTCAGATGATTTCTTGTACTGTCCATCTTTGAAGAGACTCTGGCCACAGAGATAATGTAAGTCACTCTTCTTATTGTCAAACTCTGTGGTGGACAGGACGTAGAACTGGTAAGACTGCATGGAAGAGAGAAAAGTAACAACATAACAATACTATCATTACTAGGTGTGTTTGGGCTTCTTTAAAACTTTCAGCTGCTTCTTTAAGTCTTCCCGCCCTGAGGTAGACCTTACCCAGTACAGTGTGTAAGTAAGCAATCTGAGACCCACGGAGATTAGTACTTAACATTGATACTGCCTAAGAGAGAGAGAGGGAGAGAGAGAGGGAGATGATTATAAATAACATTATGTGTCACATTACTTTATCATGGTCTCCGAGGAATGAAAACACGAGAGCCTTTTGAGCATGTGATCCACCCACACCACTGTTCAACTTACTGGCTACCCTGTACATGTACATGTATAATAATAATAATGATGATGATGATGATGCTGTTGGTGTTGTTGTTTACCTGATGCAATTAATGGCATTTTCATAATCTTTTAATAAGAGATAAACTTTCCCCTATACAGCAGATAGATAGATTATTATTATAAATTATTGATTATTGATGATACTGCACCTGGTTGAGATGGTATGAAGGATTGTTAGGATACAAGTGTATAGCCCTGGACCAATCCAACAATGCACTGTGGAGCTGCAATAAATGAATAAATAAATAAATAAATAAAATGAAATAAAAATCAATAAATAAAGAAATTAAATTCATATAATACCTGGTTTATTTCAGCAAGTGCTTCTGCCTTACACAGTAAAGCTCTGATGTAAGTTGGATCAGCTTGTAGCCCAGTAGTGAAGAACTTTAGTGCACTTCTATCATACAAATAAATAAATAAATAAATTAATTAATTAATTAATATTAACAGTATGTATTAGCCGTGGTTAAGTTACGTTGGATCATTCTTGTGCTTCAAGAGGACCAGTCCAGCATTAGTGTGAGCACTGGCAAGATGAGGAGACAGGTGAGCAGCTGTTACAAAATCACTAAGAGCTTCATCGTAACTAATGATAACAATAATAATAATAATAACAACAACAACAATAACAACAGCAGTAGTATTACTTACCACTTCAGTACAGTATAGATGACTCCTCTGTGTAGATATGCCAGTGAGTTATTCTTAGAATTATCCAACAATATTGAGACACTGAAGTCCATCAGCGACCTCTCAGGATCAATTCTACCAGACAATAATAATAATAATAATAATAATAATAATAATAATAATAATAATAATAATAATAATAATAATAATAATAATAATAATAATAATAATAATAATAATAATAATAATAATAATAATAATAATAATAATAATAATAATAATAATAATAATAATAATAATAATAATAATAATAATAATAATAATAATAATAATAATAATAATAATAATAATAATGACATTATTGCAAGTACTGCAGTATTAATGCACTGAATGTACACGTACTGTCTCAATAGACAGCCTCTCTTGAAGAAGAGGGCGGGGTCTTGAGGATTGAAGTGAATTGCAGCTGACAAGTCTTTCAAAGCCAGCTCCTTTTTCTCCTAATTAATATTCATTAATAATTATTATTGGTTTGTTTAACAATAGCGTACCATTTCAAGGTTTGCTAGTGATCTCAGAAGCCACGCCTCCATGTTATTATGATTGACAGCCAATAATGCAGTCAGGGTCTGTGTGGTAGCACCCCATAAACTAATTAGTGGGTGTGGTCATTATTAATTAATTAACTAATTAATTACCGTTTATTGAATCTGTGCTTTGCTTGTCTGATCAATGCTTCTTCATTGGTAGGTTGCAGCTTAACAACTGTAGCATAGTCACTCATGGCCGCCTCTGTCTCACCTCTCTAAAATATAAATGTAAATAAATAAATAAAAATATTGAACCTGTCCATACCTTTTCTCTCAGTTCTGCTCTTAAGAATATTAACTTTGGATTCTTATCATCTTTCCATATTGCCTGTAAGAGAGAGAATATGAGCATTATTAATAACAGTTCACTTACTCTGGTTATATTGTCAATAGCACTGCTTAGGTCACCTCTTTTAGCAAGCAGAATACCTCTATATAATAGACCAGCTTAAGCTCCACCCCCTGCCATACCCACTTACTTTGACAAAAATCCGAGGCCGTGATTGGCATCTTTCTTCAATAGTTGAGTCAATTCATCAACTGCAGACTAAAGGAGGAGAAGGAGAGACAGTCAATTTAAATTTAATTTTTTTACTTTTTCTTTTCCAAGTACAAGAAAGAGTAAATGTCGTTCCCAGTGGGGCGTGGATAAGAAAGAACACACCTCCAAAGCTTCGGTGAAATCCTTCATCGCCTCTTCAAGAAACCCAAGCTAATTAAAACTAATAATTAATATAAATCAATGAATATATAATTACCTTACGATAGAGGATACCACGCTCAACAAGATACTCAGCTGTGTCTCGCTTGCTATCACGTGACCTGCTCGCTGCAATCTGATTGGTTAGATTATCAATCTCAGATGTATTCTATTATAATACACACATACAGTGTATATTACATATTAATTTATATTGTGTGTATACCTCGTTTATTACTGATGGTAGTGAAGGAATTGATGAGAGATCAAGATTAATAATTGAATTATTGGCACTGGTTCCGATGCTACTGGGTCCCACACTATTACCCCCTACAACGGACCCTATAATATTACTAGGCCCCACACCAGTGAGGGGTCTAATGGTGTCCATAGTCTTCCCAGTGTCCATGTCTCTCTTCCCAGTGTCCCTCTTGTTGGTTTTCATTGGGTCCGGTAGCCACCATGGTACGGGAACTCGTCCCTTGTCATATTCCGCTATTGCGGCACGTACCTCTGCCAGTACTTCATAAAACCAATGGTCCCACAATGACTCTGCCCACTCTCTTGATTGATATCTGTAGGTCACACCCATCAATTAATAAAAATAAAAATAATAAATAATAATAACAATCATGTACTTGTGTTGTATGTCAATCAGATTAGGAAGACTGGTGCTCACAGAGGTTGAAACTTTGGTACTAAATAATGAGAATGAAATATGAATACCTGATACATATTGATGTCCTTATGCTGTGTAGAAAGTTTGAGCTGATTCCGACTTCAATTTTTCAAGTTACAGCCATTTTAAGAAAACGTCAAATTTCTGAAAAGTACCCAAGGCTATAGCCCATGGTTTTTTTCAAAAAATGGCTTCGAAATCACCCCAAATTTTTATTACATTTTCTGATACATATTTTTGTGCCCTTATGCTATATTATTCTTATTGTCAATACTTACTTTGGTTTGTTGCTGATAAAGGTTTGTTTCCATTCAGATTGTATCATATGATGAGATGCTGATCTGTGCAATGGCCTTGATGGCTTAGACAATTCCGTACGAGCATAATGGGCTCTGAACTAAGAGAGGAAAGGAGAGAGAGAGGAGGGAGAGAAGTAAGAGAATATACTAAATGAGGTGCAGTATATGTTCATTACTATTGCACTTTTGGTTCTCTTGATTGAATGAGCTTTGGATGGAGCTATCACGCCTCCTCTCCTCTGGCCCGCACTGTGTAGTTATTAATATGCAGTTAATTAATAATAGTTAATAAACTCACCCTCTCAATGCTCTCCTTATAATAAATGGTGACATACTCGACTCTAAACGAATTTAATTTTAATTATTTTATTTTAAATGTACATTACCTGATGATACAGTACTTTCAGTGACACTGGCTATATCTTCTCCTTGTTGTTGTTGTTGTTCTAGTCTTTGTTTTTTCTTTAATTCGGCTTCTTCAGCTTTTCTCGTGTGATGATTTATTAATTGATCCCGTTGCCAGGCAACCTAATATTAATGAATATTAATTAATTACATATCTCTTTTATTACCTCGTTCATTATTAACTGATATTTATCGTAACTATCAAAATTTGATAGCGTTTCAATACGTCTCCTCCTACTACTGCCGCTTCTTCTATCATCACTGACCCCTCCCACTGACACGCCTCCTTTTGAAACAACAGATTCACTATCAACACTTACCTCAGATGCAACTCTAAAAATAGAAAATAAATAATTAAATTTGAAAATTGAAAATACTCAGATTAATATCATTTTTATTTCTTACTCTGTACTAATTTCAGTAGTTGGTATTGTAACCATTTCTTCTTCTTCAGGCTCCTCCTCTTGCTCCTCCTCATGCTCCTCCCCCTCTCCCTCCTCCTCCTCCTCCAAAGGGTGTGGGTGGTATGGGAAGAGTCTTTGTTTAATAGTGAGTGGGTGGAGTGAGAGCTTCGGAGGAGCAGGTGTCCATATTAACCTGTTAATGATAGTCACATGATGCGTCACATGACATCAGTTTACTTTGATCTATCAGCCTCTGGTTCAAGGACAATACCACACACTTTTAATGTAGCTCCACCTTCGATGTCTCCTCCTCCCTCCCTCTCTCCTTCTCCTTCTCTCTCGTTGTTTCCAGTCGAGAGGTTAAAAGATGTAAGAGGTAACGAGTGAGACTTTCTTGATAATATTTGCAGCTGTAATGGCAGCTGGGGCAGAGACTGGTCGACACAGAAATGATGCATACTACTGGGCAATGGCTGGAGAGAGGGAGGTTCTTTATAATTATTATAATTTAATATTCATTACTTGGAATTTCGGTTGTTGATCAGTTTTTAGTTTTACAGATAATAGGACTCTTTTCTTTCTTTTACTTGAAGTGGGTGGGGTAGGTAGGTGTGGTTTATTAGATGGCGAAAGACTGTGAATATTTAATAAGGTATTTAGAGTAAGAGGCTCATCAGAAAATGCCAAATATTCCTAAAAATAAAAATACAAATAATAATTAATAACGTTAACTAACATGAATTGATGAGTGTTTAGAAATGGATTCCTTTCTCTCTCCTTCAGTGTCTGATTCTTCTTTATCATCAAACTGTGCTGGTAAACTATTGACTTTTGGAATAACTAAAATAAAATAAATTAATTTTTATTATTTGTACAGTATATACATGTAAATGACTTACCAGGTTCATCAGTATGAGAATGAGTTTCATCAGTACAGGAATGAGATTCATTGGAACAAGAATGAGTTTCATCAGTACAAGTGTTATCTTGTATTCCATTAGTTATTAATTGAGGATCAGAATGAGAATGAAGATCACTGGTATGGGAATGAGGACATGAGGTATGAGGGTGTGAACGAGAACGAGGAGTTTGAGACAAAACACGAGTATGAAGATTAGATGAATGAGATACTAAAATATCAGTATTAGGAACAGAAGTATGGGTATGCATACTGTTATGGGTACTGGTTGTTGTTTGATCAGCCGAAAGTGACTCTAGTTGCTGCTGGATATAAAGAGAAGGAGAGAGAGGGGGAGGAGAAGGAGAGTGTGATATTATCGGTGGGGTTTCTCCTCTTGTCTGTAGTGCGGTGAGGCTGGTCTGTGAGGACAAGGATCCATCTTTATGAGAAGGAGGAGTGTCAGTTCTCTTTTTGGCACTATTACTTGTTACTCTCTGACTATACACAGCTGGTTTACTGGTACTCAATGAGTTAACTATAGCAATCCTTGGTTTCTGGGCTGATGGTGTAGCCTCTATTGATGGTCCCTGCTCCTTCCAGGGAGTACCACGAGGAGTACCATACCTCCTTCTAGGGACGGACATATTGTCGTTACCATGGCAACTAGATCTAGATGGTTAATTATTAATTGGGTAGCTACGGGTGTGGTTATAAAAAGGTGTGTCACTGTGTGATCAGTGCAGTTGAAATTACTAGAGCTTAATCACTCTATTATCTATGTGCTGGTTAAGACTATAAAAAATAGCTAGGAAAGATGCAAGACAAGAAGCAGCCAAAGGAGCAGCTATACACAGAGCTACATTCAACATGGGAAGAAGCAAATAAGAAAGGAATGACCAAAAAATCATTCAAAACCTTACTAAAAGAACACCAACCAAAGAAGAGAAGAAATACATCAACTACAGGAACAATATGTCAGTATATCAGTAAATGTTTTAATGTAATGTGGACCTTCATATTACTACTGATCCTATTGTACATATTAATAGCATACACACCTCCAGTAAGCAAAGCACTCCAGACCCACCTCCATGATAAAGTCTACACCATATACAGATGGACTAGGCTATCATATCTCGCCATTCATCCACACCTACTGTCCTTTGGAATAGACCTGTCTAGAATATGTCTCATTGAGAACCCACTGGTTAACGAGACACTCTACTGTCCTTGCATTAGAAACCCTACACCTGTGGACACCATAACCTACCCCTCCTCCTCCTCCCCTCCATCCATTGTTGATAAGATATCTTCAGATAACATTACTATCATTCATGACTACCTAACTATCAACGAGACTTATGGACGCTCTACTTTATTGAAGTACTTTAGTGAACATCATCAGTCACCAAGTGCTTGCTTACATAATGTTATGGGTAAGGAAGGTCCTAGCTCTGTTGGTGATATCGTTAATGATAATAAATGGAAGGAGTTTATGGAGGCTAAAGAACCATGGGGTTATATGTGGTAAGAGAGAGAGAATGAAAATAAAAGAGAAGTGAAAACATTGACATATGTTGAAAGATGACAAATGTTTGCATTGAAATAGACAGTCTTTTTAGAAAAAAACCTTATTATTACTTTTTACTTTTCCAGGCATGACTGTCATGATTTCCCATCATTGCGTCCATACTTACCTCAACTTAATGATAATAATATCAAGGAAAGCAATGTAACAGTCTACACCTTATTAACAAGATGGCAGAAAGCATTCTCTTATGAATTTGTAAGTGACATACTATCACTATTAGTTGTTGTTATTATTTGTTTGTTGTTGTTTATCATAGGATGATGTTGACATGAATTCAGTGGTGCTATTGGTAGTACAAGGTACTGTGCATATTAAGATTGATCCAAACAGATACTGTGTGCAGTACTGCATTGAACAAACTAAAAAGATGATAATGAACCAGGGGGACATTTGTAAGTACTAGTATGGTGTGCAGCTGGTAATTTTAATGCTTTCTAACTTGATTTTACTGGTAATTTTATGTTATTTTTTTACTTTATTCTCCTAGTGATTTATGATAAAAGGTATTGGATGTACATTGCCAGAAGTTGGAGTGAAACAACATTTCTAATGACAATACCTTTCAACAAATCATCAATTATTAGCAATTAATAATGCAAGCATATGTGGGTGTGGCCAAGTATTGCAATTAATTAACTAATTAGTATTTAATTTTTTAGCTACTTCGTTTTGTAATTAATAATAATTATTAATAATTAATTTCATGTATACAGGTATAAAAGAAATATAATTAGTAATAATACTAATAATAATAATAGGAATAAAACAGCTTTTTATTAATGAAATCAGCTGATGTCTTCAATAATAATAATAATAATAATAATAATAATAATAATAATAATAATAATACAATATTACCCTGATCAAAAATAATAACTATAATGTATATAAATAATCTTCTAGCCCCGCCCACCTCACATGCTCAATTGTAGTGCAGGGAAGCCCAGTTTACGCAGTAGCAAGAGGCACATCCCTAGGAAACTAGACCACACCTCCCGAGCAATACGAGACCTTATATAGACCAACCGGGTCGCCAATAGAAACATTAAAAAGTTAAACATGTAACGGATATTGCGCAATCTGAGGGAAAAAGGGGAGGGGCAACAGAAAAAAGAGAAAAATAATTTAAATATTAAAAGTGTGAGACAAGACATGAACATACATGTACATGTAAAGAACAAACAGCAGGTTTTATTTAAACATCAATTAGTCATCAATTTATTAAATCGTATGTACATGTACAGTTACCTTTGAATTTGTTTTCTTGCTCTTGAAAGATTATTTGGATCGTCTTTTAAAAGATACTTCTTAGTTCCCATGCAAAACAGTGCAACGTAGGATGGCCATTTTATAGTCATCGGATCAAAGTTGAACATTCTTTGATCGTCTTCGCTCATCAGGGTCTTGAGATGATTCCCGTTTGCATTCGACCACTAGAAGGAGTGAGGTCATGTGACGTGTCATGTGATCAGTTTATTCATTACCTCCCAGGAGTGCTGAGTGAAGTAATCTAACTGTTCCACTGCTTTCTTTAATTTTGAATAAATACGTACCAAACTAGAGAAATATAAATTGTAAGCAACATAAGTACATGTATATGTATCAGAAAAAATTATAAAAAATGGAGAATTTTCTCCTTTTCAATTTTGGCAAAATTTAGCCCGAGACCATGTACTATAGTACAGGGACTTTTGTCCGATTTTGGAGCAACTTTAAAAATTTGTAAAAAATCCAAGCTTGATCAGAATCAGCTGAAACTTTTTACACAACATAAGTATATGCATCAGATAAAGTTATAAAAATGGAGGGTTCTCTCCTTTTCATTTTTGACAAAATTTGGCCCAAGACCATGTACTATAGCACAGGGACTTTTGCCCAATTTAAATTGGAGTAACTTTTAAAATTCATAAAAAATCTAAATTTAATCGGAATCGGCTCAAACTTTGTATGCAACATAAGTATTTGTATGCAACATAAGTACATGTATATGTATCAGATAAAGTTATAAAAATGAAGAAGTCTCTCCTTTTCATTTTTGGCAAAATTGGGCCTGAGACCATGTACTATAGTACAGGGACTTTGGCCCGATTTTGGAGCAACTTTAAAAATTTGTAAAAAATCCAAACTTGATCGGAATCAGCTCAAACTTTCTACACAACACAAGTACATGTATATGTATCAGATAAAGTTATAAAAATCAAGAATTCTCTCCTTTTCATTTTTGGCAAAATTGGGCCTGAGACCATGTACTATAGTACAGGGACTTTTGTCTGATTTTGGAGCAACTTTAAAAAATTGCAAAAAATCTAAATTTGATTGGAATCAGCTCAAACTTTCTACGCAACATAAAAACATGCGAAAAAATTATAAAAATTAAGAATTCCTTCATTGCAATTTTTGGCAAAATACCCTGTACTACATGAATAGTCCATTGTCATACATACATTGCTTTCTTTCCTAATAGAGTGAATATGAAGTCCATTACGTAGGCTGGTATAGAGTGGAGGAACAGGTGCCAGAGAGGCCATGAGAAAGCTGGTCTGCATAAATATATCTTTGGACGATGGAATATCCAATCAAACGGATTGTCATAATAAGATTTAATAACCAGTGGATCTGTGGGAGCGGAGAAAAAGGGAGGGGTCAATAATAATTAATAAATAATGATAACTGACATAGCTGTATCCATGTAATAGGATTCTGTGTGCCTGTATTGGAGTGATAGACCTTGATATCTTTGGACCTAATTAATTAACAAAAATTAATTAATAAAAATTAATAATAGTTAATTTAATAATTAATTAGTACTTAATTAATTAATTAATAGTAATAATTACTTATTCATTGCTGTTGCCCATCCCACAGATAATAGCATGTTATTAACAAAATCCACTGGCACAATGTCTGCCTTTCCATTGATATCGGCTCTCAGGACTCTTAATAATCCTTTACCAGTCTTTGGAGGGAGAGAAAGGGTTAAAATCATGAGTAGGTGGGGCCACTTACCGCAACAAATAAACCACCTGGACCATGGAAGCAATCTATCCAACCCTAATTATTATAAATAAATAAATAAATAAATAATAGTATTATCACTGTCATTAAATATTTACTACAGGTGATTAGTAGTAACACACACAATAGATCATACATGACTACATTCACCAGATATGATCACTATCCTCTCTCTCTCTTTTCCTCTCCTCCCTCACTAACTGGTAGTGGGTCTTTCACAGCTGCTCCGATGATACTTGGTCTCAATATGGCCACTGGAAGGTCATGAGCTTCTTCCACTATTATTTGTTCTCCGAGGGACTTTGAGTAAGTGTATGTATTGGGACGACCTTCAAGTAATGATGGAGTAACCATGTTCCACATGTCATCCTTGAACCAGCTGGAAATAAAGAATAAGAGAGGGAGAGAGAGAGTATATTGTATATGTATATGCCAAATCACTCAATACAGAATAGTAAACAGGACTCACTCCAGGAGATTCAAAACTTTCTTGTAGTGAACTTCATTTTGATACACCTTCTCATCAATTTGTGTTAGCTGACAGAATGCGTAGGCCGTAGATACATGTACAAAGGACTAAGAGAAAGAAAGAGAGAGGAAAAGAGAGATAGATCATTATTATGAAAATAATTCTAAAATTAAAAAAAAATGAGTCAAAATACATTCTAGATGCAACAAATGAACTCTCTTTCTCTTAAAGTAAAAGCAAAAGTAGCTCAACCAAACATCAAATACAATAAAATAAGTTACATGTTCATAGATGTACTGCTTACAATAAACAAACACACACACTCTCTCTCTTACTTCTAATTTCTTTATCTTCTTGCACAGTTCAATAACCTTCCTCACTCCTGATGCATTATATTGTATGGCTTCTTGTAGAGGAGCATTGAACTGGACAGTAGCAGCAAGATGGAACACAATGGAGACATTGTCACTAATTCTTTCAACGTCATCTTCACTCAGTCCAAGCTGAGGGGAACCAATGTCACCAGAGAGGGGAACAACCTTTTTCCAAATGTCAGGTCTGTCTGAAAGCACCTTCTCATACAACTAGAAAAAAAATAATTAATAATAATAATAATTAATAATAATAAATAAATAATAATAATAATAATAAAATACATCATTTTCATGTACATTATTTTACATGTGCATGTAGCATGAGCTGTTATTATAGGATTCTATTGTTGCATAAGGTTTCTTTGATGCTGACAATAGCCAGAGGTCAAGTTAAGAAGGTGAGAAGGCCACAAAATGATGGCCACACTCTGATTAGTTTACAGAGGCAGGTCAATGAATATCATTAACAGAACTTGATCTCCTAACCTTTAGTTTGCTCAGATCTTCAACTCTCTCTTGAATGCTCTTCTCTTTCTTTGGTCTGATGAGTATGTAGACCTGCTCCACCTCAGGAAGATCCCGCAGTATCTTTTCTAGCAGACATTTCCCCATGAAACCAGTAGCTCCAGTCATGAATATGCTCTTTCCTGCGTAAAACTCAGGTATGGTGGGCCAGAGAGGAGGAGAGGAGGTAGGGACGGGCTCTATTGAGCTGCTCAGAGGCTCTTGAGTGTCAGCCATGTCTCCAAAAAGAGAGGAACCAGACTGGAAACTCTGTCTCCTTCCTCCTAGCCACACCCAATGACCCTCAAGGGATCACGTGATCATATCACACCACAATTTGATTTGGCGCTAAATTCAAATTTGATCACGTGAGCCTTGTCGTGCTTTGACGTAGGCATACATCATAAAACATGGCGGCAATAATGTTGCTGCTTGGAGTATCTATTCTTGCTCTCTTGAATTCAATAATTTTATATTATATAAATGAAACTGTACCCTCTCCTTATATGGTAAATAGAATTTCAATTATTACTCTCTTTCTCTTCCAAAGGATGAAATATTTCACGTTCCGCAAGCTCAGCAATATTGCCGGAATAATTTCAGTCACTGGGACCCAATGATAACCACGCCCCCTGGGCTGTAAGTGATGCCGTCACGAGCAGCGAAACTAATTATCAATTAATTAATAGATATTTAATTTCATTATTAACAATAAAGCCATTGTCATCACTGTTTGCTAAAGATCTATGCATTACATCATTATTACGGTAAGCCACACCTACCAATTTTAAAATTACCCTTTCTAATTAGTGCCCAGAACGTCCTTTTTAGTCTCATCAGTTTCATTGTATTTCATTCGTTACTATCGTCAATACATTCCCAATTAAAGCCCACCTTATTAATGGTGATGTCATCGCTCACCCTATCTCTCTTTCCTCCATTATTCTTCTTTAATTTCTTATATTACACTGATGTTGGCTCCACCCTCTTTGTATTATTTGGCTACTTAATGTCGAGACAGCACAGACACCTCCTTGCTTCAATTGTAAGTTGTGTGACATATGGGTTGCCGTGGTAACCTGCATATCGTTAATTCCAGTCGTTAGGAGTGAGTCTGTTGTTTCGACAGACTAATATTGTGTGGGCGGCATTTGTGGGAGGAGCATCTATACTGAGACACTTGGAACTGGAATTATCAAGAAATAAAAGTAATGAACTAAACGTGAAATGTTTAATAATTATACAAGTGAATGTTCCTTCTCTCTCTCTCTCTCTCTCAGAGCTTCCATCTTTATTTTATCAGTTCATTACTCTATTAAAGACTCTTCTATTCCAACTACCAGCTGTTCTCTCTTGGGTGTGGTCATACGTCTTATTAGGAATTGGTTTTATGATATTTATAATTATTAATAACGGAGTTGTACTAGGAGACAGATCACATCATATTGTCAGTACACATGTACCACAAGTAATGTACTTCTCATGGTAAGCATGATAATAATAATCATTTACTTATTTTTATTCTTTAAAGTTTTGTTTGTTTCTTCTCTTTTTGGAATATTCTCTTCCGTTGGAAATTATTTTTAAAGTCGTTTTTCAATCATTTTTTTCGATACCTATTCCTTTATGTACTACTGACAGCAATTGGACTAATGGCTGCTCACTATTACACGTTTGTACACCCCCTCCTCTCTCTCTCCTCCTTCATTTGGTTCTCTTATAGTTATGAGCATCCATATTTACTAGCTGATAATCGTCATTACACGTTTTATATTTGGAAGAATATTTACAGAAGAGATGAGGAAATAAAGTATTTCCTTACTCCAATGTATAGCGTTTGCATGATAATAATAATGACATTATTAAGTAAGGAACTAATGTCATTCTTGTGTTATTATTGATTTTATTATTAGGAGAGCAACAGTCCTTTTGGTGGTAAGTTTTGCATTTCTTTGTTCACACATTTCTCTCTCATATTTTACAGGATGTTATTATACTCTGGTGTTTGTATAGTAACGTTAGTACCACAATCTTTATTCGAGTTCCGGTACTTCATAATTCCATACCTCATGTTCAAGGTTCATGTCAGACCCAGTTCCTTGGCAGCCATTTTATTAGAGGTGTGTCTTTATGGCGCCATTAATACTCTGACTCTATTGATATTCATTAATAAACCTTTTCAATGGGAGGGAAGCTCACAGTTGCAAAGGTTCATGTGGTAAGTGTACCACCAGCAGCTGGTATTAAATAACTTGATGTCAAAAGTGTATAAATATAAATAAATAAAATAAACGATAATTTTTATGCTGAAGTTTCTGAGGATTGCCTGGAGTGATTGGGTGTGGTCATGGACCCGTAATCACTCATAGTTTCTTCATCACTGCTGGGTGTGGCTTTGACTGGTAAATGTGATGCAACCAAATTATGAGTCAAGATACCTAAAAAGATAAAAATGACATAATCATCAGGTTAAAAGTACTAGGGACTTCCTTAATGATATTATGCCAGCTGCATATTCAAACATTATCACCACATGAATGCAATGTCATTGTCACATGATCTAATAAGATTATAAAGTTTAATTTTACCTTCTTTCCTGAGGAAGTTCACAGCATCAGTGTAACCTTGTTTATAAATAATTTCCATTTCTTTCCATGGTAGCAGTAGCAATGATCCCATACCACGATACGTATTGCCAGTATTCATATTGAGAGTCTGTCCAAAGAAGTAACATTGATAATAGGATTCATTATCAGCTGGTGGACATATATCACATTCACCAGTGAATGGTGATACTGTTATGACACTTGGATCAGTATTGTGTGGTAGATTAGAGGAGAGACCCCCATCACAGCAATACTAGAGAGAGAGAGGTGAGAACAACATTAATTTTAACAACGCGTCTTCTTGAATGCTGTAAAGGTATCAAATTAATACCTAAAACCTCAAACCATTCACACGTAACATGTAAACATCCAACATGAAAACATCACACAAAATACACATCATACCTTTCCTCTTAGCTTTGGCATCATTATTCCAGATACAAAAGGTACGAAACAGCTGCATAGCAGTGCCTATGGAATTTTACATTAATTATTTTTAAAAACAGATCAAACTGGTCTAACTTGTATGAGCTCTCCTCTCGTATTGAAATCAGTTATAATCCAGTTCTCCATGGATGGGAATATAGTCACTGATACACCCACTCTACCAGTGCACCTCCTGTGGGCATCAGACGGTAACAGCTTCTCCAAATGATCCCGACATTTCTTCCCAAGTCTCAGTTTAGGATGAAGGAGAGAGAATCGACCCCATTGACAAATGGACTCTGCAATGTTGTACAGCTCGTGTATAAATTCAAGCATTTCAAGGTGAGATATTCCACAGGCTATGGAGGTTGCTACAACAGAGCCTACACTAGCTCCATACAGCGTGCCAGAGAATATCTCTCTCCCGAGCTTTGAGCTGCATTCTTGCACGGCTTGTCTCATACCCACATGATATATAGCCATGAAACCTCCACCGGCGAATGAAGCAGAGTTGCGTGCTTGGCTTGTACAACTAGGAGAGTCTTTGTCTTTTTCCATTGAGCTCTGGGTATGAGACTATGAGATGTGAAAGTTTCTTAGCGAGGAGGGGCTTTTAAAGAACGCATATGTGGGAGTGCTGGAGGTGTGGCCTTTGCTGAAAAAAGTGAAAATTGCAAGTTTGCTAACTAATAATTTTGGAGTTTTTAAATGGGCCAATTTGTAAAAAAAATCCCTGTACTATAACCCATGGTTTTTTCAAAAAATGGCTCTGAAATCACCCCAAATTTTTACTACATTATCTGATACATATTGATGTCCTTATGCTATGTAGGAAGTTTGAACTGATTCCAACTTGAATTTTTCAAATTATGACCACTTCAACTAAAATTTTGGCTATTACATCATATAACTTCTTGTAATTTTAACTATGATTCGGAATTTTTGATATAGTTATAAAAATAATAATTATAAATAGTATTTTTGATAGCTTTCTTTCCTGAGAAAGTTCACAGCATCAGTGTAACCTTGTTTATAAATGATTTCCATTTCTTTCCATGGTAGCAGTAGCAATGATCCAATACCACGATACATATTGCCAGTATTTATGTTCATAGTTTGTCCAAAGAAGTAACATTGATAATAGGATTCATTATCAGCTGGTGGGCATATATCACATTCACCAGTGAATGGTGATACTGTTATTACACTTGGATCAGTACTGTATGGTAGATTAGAGGAGAGACCCCCATCACAGCAATACTAGAAAGAGAGAGAGAGAGAAAACTGCTTAATGCAGCAACAAAAATGAATGATATAAATGCTACCTTTCCTCTAAATTTTGGTATTTTATAACCAGAGAATAACGGTACAAATCCACTGCATATCAAAGCCTGACAACAATAATAACATGTTTAATTGTTATTGTTATTATTATTATTATTATTACTTGTATTAGCTCAGCCCTGGTGTTAAATTCAGTGATGATTTTATTCTCCATTGATGGCAGTACGGTCATTGACACTCCCACTCTGCCACTGCATTTCTTGTGTGCATCAGGCGGTAAGTACTTCTCAAAGAATTCTCTAGTTCTTCTGACGAGTTGAAATCTTGGATGAAATGTACCAAACCTGCCCCAGCAGCAACCAAACGAGACTGCCCTTTCATGCAGGTCCACTATGAATTCCATTGCTATCTTTGGTGACATTCCACACGCTATATTCACTGCAATAAATGCACCACCACTGGCTCCGTAAAGCATACCAAGTCTTGAAAGGATGCTTCCAGCAAAATGATCATGACTGCTTGGTTTTATCATGGCTTTACTTCCACGTCTCTTTTTCTTCTTTTTTGTTAATTTCTGCTTCCTTGCACCTTCCTCTGCTATTGCTTCTAGCACTCCAACGTGATATATAGTCATGAATCCGCCCCCAGCAAAAGAAATTGCTCTTCTTGTTGTTGACATTTTTGCTGATATCAAAAGTGATGGGGAAAACTTGATAATTTTTTATTTACATTTCCACTGCGCATGCGCAGTACTAAGTGGTAGGAAAAGTGACAATTCATTATTAACGAGCCCCACCCTCTCACTTTGCAGTGAGCAATGTTGCATAACAAGACATAATTCATAATAAATAAACAATTCATGAACAAGCAACAATTAAATATAACACAGCATTTAATATTCCTCTTGATGTCAGGAAATTATAATTTGTGGCGGTGAAGATAAAAAGAAGTGTCCCCCATTGTCATGTTGATACACAGTACCAGCTGTAGAATTCATTGATAATTTGTGAAGAAACCTAATGAATAGAATTTAAAATGATTTCATTTAACACTTCCATATTAGGCCAATAACTAAACCATAATTGCATTGCAATATTAACTATGTTTTTATACTATAATGTACATGTACATGTACATACCTTTTCCAGCGAGTACCAAGCCTTGACCACACCTCTTTACCCACACTCAGTAGAACCTGAGGTGAGTGAGTATAGAGTCCTGATGAATATAATGAGAAAGACCAAACGAAGGAAGAGGGAGAGGTAGGAGGAGGACTGGAGAGTTCAGTTACTGACGAGGAATGTCTTGAATGGTTTGGTGTGGGTTGAAGAGAATAATAATCACTAGTGGCTTCATCAATTGATAGTGAGTCACCAGCTGCCGTCTCGAGAAGAGGGGGAGGGACTATTGTTTTAACACCTTTAGGGGATAAAGAGACAATAATAACACAAGTATGGCTATTCAGCCTATTCTCATTCCTCCTCAAACATGTGACATTTTATCACTTATTACTACCTACCCTTCTTCCTCTCTCTCTCTTCCTCTCCTCAACTCACATGACTTCCACCTTTCTCTCTCACTTATTATTACCTTCCTTCTTTAAAAAACAGAGTGTGTCATCATACCCCTGCTGGAAAAGGCCCTCCATCTCAGCCCATGGCAAGAAGATGAGGGCACTTATCCCTCTGTATATGTTATCAACACTGATGTGAACCGTTTGTTTCATTAAGTACGTCTGATAGTAAGACTCATTGTTACTGGAGGGGCAGATGTCACACTCTCCACTAAAAGGAGATACAGTGATGACTTGTGGGTCAGAGCTGTATGGCATGTTGCAAGAAACGCCTCCATCACAACAATACTGAGATATTAAGATAAATTGGTAATTATTTTCATGATATAATGACTCACTTTTCCTCTGAATTTTGGCAGCTTTACTCCACAATAGAAAGGAATGAAACAGCTACAGATAACAGCCTACAAGAGTGATTCACAATAATAATGACAAATATTAAATTATTTTTATTATTACTTGTATCAATTCGGCTCTGGTATTGAAATCGGATACAATCCAGTTCTTGAGCGAAGGTACAATTGTGAGAGACACACCCACTCTCCCTCTACACCGTCTGTGTGCATCAGAGGGTAGAACTCTCTCTAGAAACTCTCTAACATTCTTTATCAAATCGAATCTTGGATGAAGACAGGAAAGTCGTCCAAGCCATGAATTTGAGTGAGCTTTGTCGTAAAGCTCCTTAATAAACTTGTATCCTTCTCTAGCTGGGATACCACAGGAGCCAAAGACAGCCACAATGGAGCCAGCACTGGCTCCATACATGTTGTCAAGGTTGTTGAAGTATTGAGGACAGTGGTCTTGGATTGCTTGGCCCACTCCAGCGTGATACATCCCCATGAACCCGCAGCCAGCGAATGAGACTCCTCTCCTCTTTATTTGTATTCCCCTCTCCTCCTTTTCTTCATTTTGTGTCCCTCCGCAGTGGTTCTCTTGGTAAGTGCTAATTCGGCTCATAGACACTCTTCTGTTTACTAGCCTAACGGTGGTTTACTCCTCCTCGGTGGATAGATAGTTCTTTTCTGCCCCTTCAGGGACTTGGGGGACCTTCTCTTGTTAGTGAAGCTTTCCTAATATTCTCTGTCTTCTCTTTTGATGTTTGCTGCTTCTATTTTGATTAAAATTTCGTCCAACTGAAGATTTCTCTGTTTGCATTTCCTAAAATGGGCGAGGGTGTGTGGGGGGTGGTGGGAGTGGCTGGCTCGTTGCCATGGAAAGGAGGAAGTGCATGTTGCCATGGATACGGAGGGTGTGATTTTCTTTGTAGGTGTGGTCAGTTTCTATGGTAACTGGAGTCAGAATCTTTACGACTCACTGAACGTGAGACAATATGGTGGCTCGTTTGGAGGAACTGAACAGGGACCTTTCTGAGTCTACAGTAAGCAATGTCTCCTCTTTATAGCTTTATCTCTTTCTTTCAGAGTCAGCCATTTCCTGAAGACTTTGTCAAGAAGACATTACTAGCCCATGGCTTCCTAGCTCATCAGCAAATGATGGACGGTGAGAGAGAGACAGAGAAAGAGAGAATTATTTACCACCTTTTCTTTAGAGCAAAGGAGGAAAGCTAAAGAGATCAAGATGGTGGCCAGCGAGACTTCAAGAGATGATAAATGTTGCTGCGACATAACAGAAGAAGAGAAGAAAAGAACCACTCAACTGATCTACCATTTCAAAGAAGGGAGAGAGGTTAGGAGAGAGAGGGAAGGGCAAGGATTATTTTAATATCTAGTTCCATTCTTTGAAAGAGCCAATTAGTTTGATAAGATACCAGCGACCAATCAAATCGCAGACACTATGGTAACGGACTCATTCCCATTCTCTCGTTATTTCATGTTTCATTCCTAGGCCGGCCGAGGTTAATTGCATTATGAATCGGATCAACTTTTTGTATGACGTACCAAATCATCCTGAACCACTCTATGTTCCTGGTAAGATTAGCTTCAGTAATATTTTAGAAAATAATAATAATAATAATTAATTTCTTTTAGATTGTTCTGTAGTACCTCCTAAGATGCGTAGTCCTTTAGGTGAAGGAAATATTGTCTACAGCAACTTACCAGGGCCTGAGAAATATGTTAGTATACTGAGATATACTGGAATTTACTGAGTCGTTTGTTTCCTTCCCGCTAGTTTACAAAGGCAAGGCCTGGTCCAAATATCTCCACTCCACACCACAGGCAGAGAGAAAACGGCAATAATTCATTAGTTTTCGAATCGAAATTTGAAAGTGGAAATCTTGCAAAAGCAGTGCAAGTGTGAGTTGCCATGGGCGTGGCTATAAGTCTGAACCACACCCATTAATTAATTATCATTACCATTATTAGTGGTCGCTGGGATTACGAGTTATACTTGAGGTTTGATTTATACACTCGTAAGCACACCCAGTGGTTCTACTTCAGTGTACAGAACATGAGAGCTGGTCAAACCTATAGATTCACAATTGTCAATTTATATAAAGTAAGAGTAGGAGACTGGAAGATATTAATCTATACTCCTCTCTCTCTCCCTCTCTCTCTCTCTGCAGCCCAGTAGTCTTTACAATGAAGGCATGCAGCCGTTATGCTACTCTGAGAAAAAAGCTGAACTGTACAAAGTTGGCTGGAGACGTGTCGGCTTTAACATTAAATACTTCAAAACTGATATCAGGTAAGCCACTCCCCACCCCTCCCACTTTAACCACGCCTCTTTTATAGACGCATAGATACCAATTCAGAGCAGTATTACTACGGACTCACGTGGTCTTATAATTTTCAATTGGACGGAGACGTTTGCTACTTCACTCACTGCTACCCATACACATACACTGACCTACAAGTAAAGAATACACTTCACTGCAGTTGTAATTCAAACGCTCTTTCTTCCTCCTCTCTCTCTCTCCTTCCTTTCAGGAGTATTTAAGTTCATTATCATCGGACCCTCTTAAGTCCCAGATATGCAAGCAGAGGACATTATGTCATACTGTAGCAGGTAATCCAGTACCAATACTGACCATCACTACACCTTCAACCACACCTGAAGAAGCACAGGTAATGTACAGTATATCTATCAGGATTCAGAGGTGTCATTATTTGTTGCTTTTAGGGTAAGAAGGCAGTCGTTGTAACAGCTAGAGTGCACCCAGGAGAGACTAACAGTTCATGGATGATGAAAGGACTCATTGACTTTCTTACTTCTCAATCACCTGACGCCATTGTACGTACATGTACATGTACATTCATTAATAGTAAACTACTAATCTTTCCTCAGATACTAAGAGATGCATTTGTGTTTAAGATCATTCCAATGTTGAATCCTGATGGTGTCATTATTGGTAACTATCGCTGCTCACTAACAGGACGAGATCTGAACAGAAATTATCGTACAAAGCTACGAGATGCTTATCCAACCGTCTGGCATGCGAAACAATTTATTAAGAAATTATCAGAAGAAAGAAAGATAGTTGTGTACTGTGATCTACATGGACACAGCAGAAAGCAGAATGTGTTTATATACGGCTGTGATAATGTGTAAGCTGTAAATGTACATAAGAAATAATAATTTTATTATTACTCTGTAGTCGAGATCCTGCTGTACGATTACAGTCAAGAGTTTTTCCTATAATGCTTTCTCGGAATGCTCCAACCAAATTTACATACGACAGCTGCAACTTTAGAGTGCAAAGAACTAAAGTAAGTCCTTGTGTTTTAACCACACCTCCTGACCATGCCCACAGGAAGGAACGGGGCGTGTGTTCATGTGGAAAGAGATGGGAATATTGAACAGCTATACTTTAGAGGCGACATTCTGTGGATCAACGCTCGGAAAAGATGGACACTATCACTTTACTGTGAAGGATTTGGAATCAATGGGATATCATTTCTGTGATACTCTCCTTGATTACTGTGATCCTGATCAGACTAAAGTTGATAAAATACTCTCAGAGCTTACTGATGACTACAGGAACCAGTTGTTAGCAAAATTGACAGCTCTGGGGGTCGAAATTCCCCCTGGGGTGGATCCACTCGATGTGAAGTTTGATTCGGATTTTTATTCCGAGTTGGAGTCAAGGTAACATTGGTATATTTCAGTAAATTGTTAGTATACTGAATGTATAGTGATGCAGGTAGTGACAGTTCTGAATCTGATGGACCACCAGTTCAATTAATTAAAAAGGTTTATTTAATTATAATAATTACTGTATTATTATTATTATTTGATTTTTAGAAAAAGCAAAAGAAGTTGCAGAGCAGACGTGAAAGGAATAGGCAAAAGGCTCGAATTAAATTAACCCACAAACTGAGCCAACACTCACCAAATCAAGTAATATAATTAATAATTATTATTTTATTTTATTATTATTATCATTTTAGAATCAGCCGTTATCTAATCGTATTAAAAAATCAACTAGTATAGATCATGCCCTACCCACTGGGGATTCTCCTGTTATTAAGGTTCCAGCCCCGCCCATTCCTCCTCCCACTTCTAATGAGTCTGGGATTGCTACTCAACCCTCTGCATCTAGTTCATCATTAAATGGAGGAATACCCAAATTTGTACTAGAAAGAATGGAGAAGAAGGTACATTATTGATTACTATTATTATTATTATTATAAATTTCTCCCAGGAACAACGATCTACTGCTACTCCTATTGAAGAACCAATGGTAATTTTAATAAGTTAAATTAATGAAATTTAGAACTTTCTCTCACCCCTAGCCTCAGTATATTGCTTCGGTTGCTTCGGATTTCATGAAACATGGCCTACCATTAACCTCAGCACTAGAAATAAATAAAGGTTGTATGATTTTCTTATTTTATTTATTCATTATCATTGTAGAGTTGATAGCATCCACTGCTTCATTTGTATCACAGAGTTCCAATGGATGTCCGATTGCCATTACTCCAAAAGTACTTCAACAACCTTCTCAGCCAAAGATGTCTTCTCCAAAGCCACACTTACCTCAGTTACCAGCTGTAATGCCGTCAGGAGCAACTACCAGCAGTGGAGCATTTGCTAGAAACTACGTAGTGCATCATCTACAGGAAGAAGCACAGATTGATACCAGTAATTTATTATTGATAGTAATTCAAAATTAGTTGTCATTCTCTCCTTCAGATTGGACACATGAATCAAGCACTAGTGGTAACATGAGAAACCTTGTTAGTTTATCGAAATTATTCCGCCAGCTGAAGCCACACCTAATTGGAACCTCCCACAGGGAACTAACCACATCTAGTCAACTAAGCATAACTACTGGAGACACACCCAAAGGAAATGAGACACGCCCACTACCAAGAACAGCCTCAGAGCATAAGAAAGTCAATTCCCTTCCACTAGTTGATAGTGTTGGTTCTAGAATCAACGATAAATCCACTGTACCTAATCCCAAAACTAATCCACAGTCAGGAGGTGATGAAGAAGATAATTCTAATGATCCATGGAACTACAAGAAAGGAGGCGGAGCTGGAGAAACTGAAGATTTCACACACAATGATCTGAGTTCTGATTCAATGCTTCAGCTAATGCAGCCTCCAGTTACTGCCTTGGAGCTTTTCGATAGTTTAGATAATCCTACGAGTCATAATGACATCACTATGACATCACACGACCCATACAGACTCACTGATAACCCACAGAGTGTAAGTACATTATTAATTTATTATTAATTATCTACTAATTAATAGGGGTATGTGTATCCATCCCCTGATATTGAGAAGAGAGGTGATCGATCTGTTCACTCCATAACTCAAAGAAAGAACAGCAATGGGCCCAGTAGTGTATATAATGGAGCTGTACTCTCACAGTTTGTTCCTGCATCTACTGATTATAATTCAAGACCTTCTTCTGTTAGGAAGCGTAGTAACCTTCACAGTGCTGGTGGCCATAAAGCAGCAGATAAATCTACTGATACTGCTGGTAGCTCAACTAGCAGGAAATCAGGGCACAAGTCACGCGTTGCTAAAGCTGTTCTTGACTTTCACCATCAAAGGAAATCTCTTTCAAAAATGACTGGAGACTCAACCAGCAGGCCACAGACAAGTGGTAACATACCTTTTGCACGTGAGCTGAACAGTTTTAATAAATCACAAGCAAAAGACAAAAGGATACAATCAGGGAACCATGAGACTAGAAGAGGAGAAGGAGAGAGAAAAGGAAAAGGACTCAATAATAGACCATCGTCCACTGCTGGAGGCATTCCAACAAGAGACAAAGGTTACTCAATTAGATATACTTCAAGATTGAACTCTCATGAAGAGAGTAGTAATACTGAGATACCACTTGTTGATCACAGGGCTAGTGATGGTAGTAAAGTTTTTCCAACTACAGTATCAATAATGCTTAATTCTTCTAGCGAATCCAGGCCTACTTCTAGGCAGCATCAACCAAAACCACTTCAATTGAGATATTACTCAAATTATAAAAGAGGATTGTTTTAATTTATTATGCATCAACAATCAATGGCATTTTATTTCATCTCATTATGTGTATAATTTATTTTTAACAATAAAATAATAATAATTAATAACAAAAACTATACTATAGTCTTTACTAATCAATAATACAGCTTTAAGTATGCTTCTTTCCGTTTTAATTTCTTTGTATCTTTCTCACTTTGAAGCTGCAATTGCAAGTTCAAAATGTCACAGTACTGAGTTCTTATTGAAACTTACAATGATTTTGGGAGGAAACCCTGGAAACTCATGACTATGTATAGCCTTGCAATCTCGTACTTTAAAATAGCGACTTACTAACCTTCAAATAATGATAAATTTTCATAATTATTATTAATGTGGAATATTAATCTACTGTAGTATTATCCACTTACTTGGCTCTCATTGGGTTTTGTGCTGTCGTTAGTGAGTTAAAGCACTTCATGCAGAGTGTCTTATTTTCTGTTTTATGTTCATAATAATCTCCTATATGGTCTGCCCTACATGTATCACACTGCATTATAGTACAAATAATAATAACAATTATTAGTTTAAGTGCTTACTTTTTCTGCTATTCCGTTGGTACATTTAATTTTGACCGTTTCTTTGAGCAGTCGTCTTCCTCCAAAGGAATACTCATACTCCATTCTTTTATCCAAATCAACATCATGCTTATACTTCCCTGGACTATAATGCATGCAGTATTATTAAAAAGCAAGCCAGTCAGGATTATTTGATACCCTGGTGAAATGGTTTCATATTGTCCAGGTGGAAACCTTGGACAGGAGGCGCCAAAAGGTTTATATTCATCTCTAATGAGCTGATACCTTACTGACTGATATTCAGCTGGACTAGGAAATAATGACATCTATGCATGTTAATAAGACATAATGATCAGTTTCCACAAAATTATTGTTATCTTTACCTTTGCAAGATCTTCTCTTGGTTTAGCAGTACGACAACCAAAGTACCATCCTTTGAGACTCTTGGGTTTCTGATTCTGTGGGATTAAGAAAAGTTCAACCTATAGAGGAAAAGGAGAGAGAGAGAGATGTTAAAGTATCATGGTGTATTTTATTTCATTTTACAGGATGTCTGTCGTAGGATCCTGGCCCAATGTGAGGTTGTCCTCTAAGACATTGCTCTATTCCTAGTCTTGTGGGGCTAGAGTGCATTGGAAACATAAGCCTGGGGACATTACTACCAAATGCTATCAAAGAATCTACAGAAAGAAGATATAAGAATGTGTTCATTAGTAGTGTTTGTAGATCTAGTCTGGTACCATTATTCTGTTCTTCAAAGATCATGATTGTTTCCTTGCTGTGTTTACTGTTTGTTTCAGAAGATGAAAATAAACTGTTTAAGTGGGCTAAACGTTTATTTTACAAGTCAAAAACTTACTTACAGATAAGTAGGGCAAAACCTCTTCCAGGCTCTTTGCAGTAACTGTTGATGCTGAGGTGAGATATTACCACTTCTTTGCGTTGTTTTAATGCCTCCTGAGCTCCACCCTTCTCTGGAATGCAGCAAAGTTTAGTGAATATCAAGTGACAGGGAAGTGGTATTTTAGGGAAGTGATAGGTCACATGTCGTCTAAAAAAGAGACTGGGACAGGATTAAAGCATTTTCTCATCTCTTCTTCTATAGCTCTCTCTTCTACTAATCGATTCTCCTCTACCAGCCATTACAAAGCCACCATCATGAGGTTTGGTGTAGAGCTGCTGGTTGTGTTTCTGGCTGTTCTTCAATGTACCGGGTTCATTGTAACGTAAGACTCCCCCCTCTCTCCCTCACTCATAAAACCTCTTTCTCCAGATATATTTTAGCTGTTAATGATGGCCACGTTACACCAGAGTTCCCCTACATTAGTGATACAGGTGGCAAACCACCTGAGAGTTGCGTATTCACATTGATCTGCTGTGTTTCAGGGATTATCAGTAAGCGGCTGTTTGTCTTTATCTCCGGCTCCCAAATGCTACCATAACAACAGTTGTTTGTTAAGTAAAGTTTACAGTCTTTTTAAAAGCATAAATTCCCGGGCAATCGATCTGACTTCTTTAAAGTTGACACAAATTGGCCAAGTTTTATGAGTTTTGTGATGCATTTGTAAACTAGGTTTTAATGATCCTTTTACACATAACCTCTATTTGTTCTCTCTCTCTCTTCTCTTAGCGTTACTGATAATGTACATCAGATACGTTCACATCAAACAATACTACCAAATGAGTATCAATAAAATACTGTTCCTCAATCCTTTAACGTTTTTTATCGGAATACTCTCAGTCTTTGGACTTTTACTTGTTGGAGCTTTCCAGGTACTTAATAACCACACCCACTGATAACTCTGCCCACTTTAGGACGACGAAGTTTCAATTGTTCATATGATTGGTGCCGCCATGGTATTTGGTTTTGGTATTGTATACATGTGGCTACAGACTGTAGTGTCTTATAAAATATACCACGCTAGCTTGACTCGCCACGTTAGCAGTGTGGTCATCATTTTAAGATTGTTCTTATCTTTAATGGCAACCATTTTCTTCATTATGGGTATGTTGTTATTAGAGCCAGTATATTGCATCCTCCCTTTCTTGTGTAGTCATGGTAACAATGTATGTTGCTGGTCATATAAGAAATCAGTCCTCACTTGACTATGACCCAGCTCATTGGACCAGCAAAGATCCTGTAAGATAATCACTAGTTCTATTTATTTGTTTTACTAATAATTCAATTATTTGTAAGATGGATATTTCCCCTATTATGCTCTACCCTATGAAGTTGTGCCCCAAATTTAGATTAGTCAGATAACAGATTGCAGCTGCTTAATGTACTCATTCCCTCCTGATAGTCACATGTATTCTTAATGATATTCATAAGTTTACAGTTCACATACTTTACACTGCCATAACAATACTGATAGTTACTTATTATTATAGACTATTATTATTATTAATTACAGGGTTATCCTCTTCATTTAACCAGTACTATATCAGAGTGGTGCCTAGGATTAGCATTCCTAGTCTTCTTCTTAACATTCCACACTGATTTCTCAAGAGTGAGTCTCATTGTGTCCGTATCATTGCGACAAGAGTACATGACACTGAACGAGAACACACCTCTAAGACTTTGAACTAGCAGGTGGACACTATCTGTTCCCAGCTGCTGTTTTGATGCATTTTTTGTCATAATCGTGTTTGTGTATTCATTCTCTACTTTTATTTTTTGTCCCTCCCCTCTCTCTTCCTCCTTGCCTAAAAGTTCATCGTCTTTATTTTAAAAGATGACAAAAATGACACTTAATTAAATATTCAATAGAAAGAGGGCCAGGGGGCAGGTTAAGTGGATCTGGATTCTTCCTCATCTCATGTGGTAGTCTTGCCTCTTGTGGTATTCCATTAACTCACCGTCAAAATCAAAAGTGATCACAAAATCAAGATCACGCTATATAACGAAAAACATTGACCACATTTCTAATTAAATATTCATTGACCACACCCCCATAATTACCTTATTTTTGGGATTCTTTCCGACAGTAATTGTACCAGACAATTGCTCTCCCATTTTAACAGTGAGACAGTCCTCAATATAAAACACAGTCTGCTTCCAGTGAGTATAGCGAGCGGCAGGGGCTAAGGAGGCGGAGTCAAAAAATGGGCGTGGTTCATAAAAGTGGGAGTGGCTTGATACTTACAGGTGGTAATGGTGGTACGTTTGTGACATTTGGTGAAGTCCACAGTAAAATAGGCTACCAGAGCATCAAGATAATCGTTATGGGTTGCTGTCAATATGTACGGAGATGAAAATGATAAATCTTCAGATTTGACTGTATTAAGATCAATCTCCTACAACAAGAATATAAATATTTCTGTCAATATTCTATACTTACTTTCACAAGACAGTGATCACAGCAAACCTGTCTATTGTCCACTACATCAACCAATGGCTCCTTCAGTGCAATGTCCCTGATGCTGCTCATGTTAAAACCATAAACTGACTCCCACCCTAGAGGAAGGAGGGAGAGCAGCTGTCACTAACAATACAAGTAAGTCCTACAGTATATCTTATCATCTTTATACTTCCTGTCTTCAATGGCAGTCACATAAAGTGATGCTCTATCAGGAAACAATAATCCACCAGGTTTCTAGATTGATGGGTATTAATAACTAGCCACACCCATTGACTCCACCTACCAGGAACTTGTCCCTAGCGAATATAACAGTGTCTAACATGCTCTCATAAAAGAGGCAGTATCCCATCCATTCTGACACGATTACATCAACATGTTTGATTGGTAACTCGATCTCTTCCATTTTCCCTTTTATCAATGTAACCCCTATACAAGGAAAGGATATCGCTACAATCTGATTGGTCAGTTTGTACTTACGATCGGTCATCCCATTGTCACGAATAATATCACGAGCTTGATTAATAATATTAGAACAATCCACCTGTTAGAACGGTAATTATGGAATTCAATCCATGATCATCATTAATATTAATAATCAATAATTAATAATTATTATTATCATTATTACTGATAACTTACTCCATAAACGTGCTTAGCTCCTGCCCGTACAGCAAACATGCTCAGTATTCCAGTGCCACACCCCACATCAAGAATCACCTTCCCTTTAAACAAGTGTCTGTTGTGATACATTGCATTCCGGTACGTTAAAGTACGAATCTCATCCTTTAACATTTCCTCGTGTATGCCTGTGATTATAGTCACATGATCAGGGTCCAATATCACGTGATCACTCACCAAAATGCGAATAAGAGTCAAAGTAGTAGTCCTTGCTTGTTAAGTCTCCATCACATTCAGCCCCGCCCACCTCTCTCTTCTCTTCCTCCATGTCACTGGATAGGCTTGATAGCTCTGAAGATGTCTTTGGCTTCTTTGCTTCTGGTTCCTACGAAATAATAATCATAATACCCTTCCCTCTCTCTCTCTCCTCTCTCACTACAATCTGAATTCTATCACTCATTGCTGCCATGTGTCCTAGCTCCACCCATAAACGAGCCACGCCTACACACGTTGCTGCAATTTCAGCCCCGCCCATACAATTGACAAATTTTCTGTGTAAATTTTAAATTTTTGATTCTGAATCTGCCACAGCAATAGTTTTAGCATCAGTCTGGTCTTCAGTACTTTCTCCTGCTTCAGTGGTATGCAAATCAGCTTCAGTAGTATGGGTATCAGCTTCAGCGGTATGAGAATCAGCTTCAGTGGTAAGGGTATCAGCTTCAGCGGTATGAGAATCAGCTTCAGTGGCATGGGTATGAGTTGTTGATTGATCTTGTCTGCTCTTATAGAAATCGTGAAGTTGCAATGTGTGTAACCAATGGAGAAATCTGCAAAATAAATTAAATAATGATGACGTACATCTATGTTATCAAATAGTTATAATTATGGATAATTTTGGAGCCGTTTTCCCAAAAAAATCCCAAGGCTTTAGTCCTTTCTTTTTTGCAAAAATATGTTACTTTTTTTAAATGGTCATAAATAAAAAAGCTTTAGTCAGAATCAGCTCAAACTTGCTACACAGCATAAGGACATCAATATGCATCAGAAAATGTAATAAAAATTTGGGATGATTTCGGAGCCGTTTTTTGGAAAAAACCATGGGCTATAGCCTTGGGTATTTTTCAGAATTTTGACGTTTTCTTAAAATGGCCGTAACTTGAAAAATTGAAGTCGGAATCAACTGAAACTTGCTACACAGCAAAAGGACATCAATATGTATTAGAAAATGTAATAAAAATTTGGGGTGATTTCGGAGCCATTTTTTGGAAAAAACCATGGGCTATAGCCTTGGGTATTTTTCAGAATTTTGGCATTTTCTTAAAATGGCCGTAACTTGAAAAATTGAAGTCGGAATCAGTTCAAACTTGCTATGCAGCATAAGGATATCAATATGTATCAGAAAATATAATAAAAATTTGGCGTGATTTCGGAGCCGTTTTTAAAAAAAACCATGGGCTATATATAGCCTTGGGTATTTTTCAGAATTTTGGCATTTTCTTAAAATGGCCGTAACTTGAAAAATTGAAGTCGGAATCAGTTCAAACTTGCTATGCAGCATAAGGACATCAATAGGTATCAGAAAATGTAATAAAAATTTGGGGTGATTTCGGAGCCGTTTTTTGGAAAAAACCATGGGCTATAGCCTTGGGTATTTTTCAGAATTTTGGCATTTTCTTAAAATGGCCATAACTTGAAAAATTGAAGTCGGAATTAGCTCAAACTTGCTACACAGCATAAGGACATCAATATGTATTAGAAAATGTAATAAAAATTTGGGGTGATTTCGGAGCCATTTTTTGGAAAAAACCATGGGCTATAGCCTTGGGTATTTTTCAGAATTTTGACGTTTTTTTAAATGGCCGTAACTTGAAAAATTGAAGTTGGGATCAGCTCAAACTTGCTACACAGCATAAGAACATCAATATGCATCAGAAAATGTAATAAAAATTTGAAGTGATTTCGGAGCCATTTTTTGGAAAAAACCATGGGCTATAGTCTTTGCTTTTTTCTGAAAATTCGCTAATTTTTATAACTCAAAACTTCAAGTCGGAATCAGCCCAAACTTTAAGAACATGTAATAAGTACATGGTTCTAAATGTTTATCTTACACGTGTTCCCTGAGTTCAGTCTCTATGATGTGTCTGTAAATATATTCATCTTTGAAACGACTGACAGTATCCTGAAAGATTACTATAGTATACAATATGTCAATTATTAATCTACTTCATATTCAGTCCATTCAAGCTTCTCGTGGACCCCATCATCTCCGAAACGACGATTATAAGATTTATAATAAACTTGATCAAGAAACAGGCCAAGAGCAGGAGCCCGAGGTATGTCAGTCTAACGAGAGAAAAGACTTTTGTAAGTACTTAAATACTTAATAATTAACTACCTGAGGTGGTTCAAATGCTTGAGTTATAGCGTCGTCATTCATGTAGCCTCTGACAACTGCAATGACCAATCCTAACACAATACATTGATTCATACATGACTGGATCATTGATTTGAATCACTCACCGATCATCTTCCTGATCTGATGAATCATGAAGCTCTGTCCTTCAACATTCAGTGATACAAACTCAAGATCATTCTTAACAAATGGTGAACCAATCACAAAGGACATAATATATCTATGGCAACTGGGATCAGTTGGTTTTCTAAGGGTGGAGGGAGAGAAGGAAGAAGGGTTTAATATGATACAGTTGATTCTTACTTTCCAGAAGTGAAGTTGTGAAACTTGTGAGTGCCTTTATACATATTTAATAAAGCTTGTATCCTATTTATTTCAGTAGCTAATAAATGAATAAATAAATGAATTAATAATAATCTCTGCTTACCAGTAATCCTGTAATCCATATTAGTAGCCTGATAAATAATAATAATAATAATAATAATAATAATAATAATAATAATAATAATAATGAATAATTAAACAATAATTCTTACTTTAAAAGGAGCAAACACATAAGTTGGTAGCAAGTACTCATATAGTCTTGAAGTGCAGGCATTCTTACTATTGAAACTTTTAGAAACCCTCTTCAAACCTAAGCAGTGTAATTCCCAATAACTCAATGTTACTACAATTACCAATAATTCTGATTTGTTCTGGGAGGTGCTCATTAATAGCTGAGACCATGGACTGATGAGGTACCATGTAAATATAATAAAAATTAATAACTACTAATAACTACTATTGATAACTTATCTTTAGTGACACTACTTGTCTTGCAGCTGACACTCCTTTGTCAGTTCTTCCACAGCGTTGAAAGCCGAGCTTGTTCTGACTGTCTTTATGAGCCTCAGATATTGCTCCTGCTTTCCACAGTGCAGTCATGAGCTCTCCTTCAATAGTAGGGACTCCTGGGTTCCTTAGGGGTGTGGTTAAGAGGTGTGGCTAGATTTATTAATAGTTATTAACTTACATTTGCATCCCCATGTACCCTTTACCACAATAAGCTATGACTAGTGCACACTTTCGTCTTTTCTAATAAATACGTAATTATTATAATTAATTATTCATAATTAATATACCAATAATGATTTATTCTCTTCAACTCCATTGCCTTCTGCTTGTTCTTCTTCTTGTGTTTTTATTCTTTTTGCTGGAGGTTCAAGGGATTCAGCCATTATTGGAATCTTCTCTCTCCACTTAACAATGTGTCTCCATGCTTTTCTTAATATTAGCATAATTAATTAACTAATTAATTAATTATTCATCACCTCATCAGGCTCATCTTCGGTATTTCTCCGTATACTAATAAAAGCAAAGCGGGAAATTACAAAAAGAACAGGCGGAGAGGAATGGCTACTGCTCAGTTAGTTAGGAAAAAAGTTGACAAACAGAAAATTGGGACGGTAAGAGACTCATTATTCAAATGGTTTATCTCTTTCTAGTGGTCTAGCGTATTCCCAGTGGAACAAGTCACCCAGCAACAGTCAACATTATTCGTAAAGAAGCTACTGGCTGTGGCTGTGAGTCACTGCTTATTCCTCAATTTTAATTATTTTTCTCACACTTTAGGTGTCAAATATCACTTACCTTAGGTACAAACTATCAACGCTGACTTTGCAAGTATAATTTTTCATTTTTTCAGGACAATATTCCCTGAGCATGCTTTTGGGGATCGTTGTTTAGAAGGTTATTCTTCATCATATTATTAATTTATTTGTATATCGAAATAGATCTTAATCTCAAGATATTGAGGGATGACAGTGCTTGCCCTGGTGCATGTCAAGTTATTAAATGGTGGGTAATTTTATTTTTAATTTATTTATTAATCTTACGACGCACACTCAAAGGGTCAAAGGTTGCTTCGATGCTCTTGATAAGAAATATGTACGTTAATAGTCAATAAATGATAATAATTCTCATTTTATTTCTTTTCATCTCATAGCTGCGTATGATAGTGATGTCAATTTATAGAAATGAAAAAGAACCAGATGTGTGTACACACTTATATGTAATAATAATAATTATTATAACTGTCCTTCTCTCTCTCTCTCTTAGGCTGTTGTTGAGTCTTACACATTCAAGGTAAATTGTACATAATAATAATAATAATACACTCCCTCCTCTCTTTCTCTCTCTCTCTCTCTCTCTCTCAGTTTTCTTACACCACTGACAGGACTGATGATTCTATCAGTATATATCGTAACGGAACTAAACTAGCACAAGCAGCCAGTCCGAATGAGACACGTAAAGCTACCACAACATTATTAAGAACCATCGTAGTACTGACACAGACACTGAAACCTTTACCAGGTAATAATGGGAGGGATTAGTTAATTAATTGTCAATTAATTATTAGACGAGGCACTAATGACAATGAAACTGTTTTATTATGATGAAGGTAATTAATTTATTAATATTATATTATTAAATCTGTGATGTATTTATTATGCTTTAGTAACTCCTCCTGATTATGAGCCACCTGGCTTTAAGGTATTATTATTAATTATTATTGATTATTATTAACTATTATTGATTAATTAGGCTGGAGAGGATACTGATGATAATTTTATTAACGAGCCAATGAATATTAATGTGGGAGACATTTACACTGTAAGGCATTAATTTGTGATTTTTAAACATTTAAACTTTATTTTATTTTGTAGCCATTTCATTCGTAAGTTAAAATAAGTTCTTTTGCAGTACAGGGTAACTGCTATTCATTCAAACATACATACATGATATACATACATGTACTCTTTCAGTGTTAAATTAAGGATAAAGACAAGTGCTGATCAGTTTGTATGTGAAGATGGAGGAGTAAAAGATGAAGGTACTCAAGATAATGATGGAGACATCACTGTAGAACAGGAACTGGATACAGCAATAGCTTCAACTAACAACAACAGTAATAATGACAACAATGATAATAATATTTATTTATTTGTTATAGGTATTGCTACTGAGCCTTCTCCTATGGAACAAGGTTGAGCTAATTATTATTATTATTATTATTATTATTATTAATATTATTATTAATTATATTTACTTAAAGCTGATATTAATGAAGATGCTCCTTCTCCTCCATTACTTGGTAAAGGACCACCAGTTGATACTGATTCTCTCATTGTGAAATGTCCCTGTGGCTATAACGAAGTACAGTACTAACAATATATGCAAGTAACTTTCTTAATATTAGGATGAAGGTCTGATGGTAGCATGTGAATCATGCCATTACTGGCAACATGCTAACTGCTTTGGACTAAGAACAGCTGATGATGTACCTGAACTACACTACTGTGACCTCTGTCACAAAGTTAGTGTATTAGCAACTCATAACCACTCTTTCTCTCTGAAGGCTGGTAGTGGTTCAATCTGTACAGATATTCAACTGGTAAAGATGGGCCTCAGCGAGAGAAGGTTCTTTTGTTTATGGCGTCGTTTGTTACTCTTGTGTTTAAAAATACCAAGGATTATACCTTACCATCTTGTCAAAAAAATGAGTGAGAGATTAATTAGGAGAGACTGTCTTCACTGCCTCTCTCTCTTTCTCTGTTAGGTGTTAGCAGTATTATTGCTCAGCGTTTAGTTGCTCGTCTTGAGGAAGAAGGGTTTGTTAAAGCACCAAAAAGAGGGTAAGGACTACTCAATCACACCACTGTATTTCATGTTCATTCAGCAATGGACGCCTATGGAAGGTTATATTGAAAGATGTCATTGAATCAGTTGCGCTAAAGAAATATTTCAAGACAGAAGTTGATAGTCCACTTGAAAAAACACAAACAAGGAGAAGGAGCAACAAAAGTGATAAAGATGAAGCTAGTAATAAAGGAGTTACTGTTGAACAATTAACAGTTAAGACATCTTCGATGAATCTAAAACAATCAAACGATAAGGTAAGGCTAAAGAATAGTGTTTATACATTAAGATTATTCTTTTATAAGTTGCATGTAGTGTATCAAGGAATTTAGCCATTGTTTATTAGTTTAAATGATTACATCCCAACTATAAAAGTGTCTAACTGTCTCTTTTAGTCAGCACCAGATACTGCTGCTAACACTTCAGTAGACGATGGGAAGAACCCAGACCCACCAGTGGTGCGTAGGTCACCACGTCTTGCTGCCAAAAGACCTCGCTCACTGGTGGATCCTACAGTTGAATTCCAACTATCAAACAGTCAAGATATCATTGATCTGCCACAGGAAACTGGTAGAGTGAAGAAAAGAAGAAAGATCAGTATAGTATCTAAAGTATTACTTGTATGAAGAGAAGGAGATTACCTATAACAATGTACATGTATTATAATTAATTCATGTTGTTCTTAACTCCATATGTATATATATTATCTGTATCTATGTGTATGTATTATCACTAATAAATGTATTATAACTAACACTATCCATCACTTATATTGTCATATGTCTATTATATTACACAGTTTTAAATATTACAGTCCAAAGGCTCGTCGATTAATTAATCATTTAAATATTTGAAATGGAGTCTGTTCTCTTTTCTTCCATTTTAAGAGTTTCTTTCTCCTCCATTTTGGGATGTACTCAGCTCGTCTCTCCTTAGCTAATGTCTGACACTCTTCCTCAGCTACTGACAGATAGGTTCTTGAAAGAACGTTCTCTACCTGCAGGGGAAGGGCGTTTAGAAGAGTAGGTGTGGCTTGACTTTACCCTGGCAACCATTACAGCTTCCTTTGCCCGGTTCATTTCCATTGATTTAGTGAATTTCCTCACTCTTCGATGCTTTCCTGTCCACTGGAGACCAGGCGTACTTCTGCTACCGAACAAAATCCTACTTAACCACATCTCTCAGGTAGTCAGCTAGGCACATGAATATCCTATGCAAACAACCCCGGAATAGTATACTAGAACCCACGTGTATGCACGTGGGTATGTGTTCAATTTACACGTGCCGGCATGTGTTTATAGTATCCGGAATTTCAGGATGCATCGTGTTACTGTTTACAATAAAGTTATTAAAAGGTTATTAAAAACAGGTGGACAATTTCGTGGTGACATTGTCTCTCCTTTCTCTCCCTCTCTTTTGCAATGGCTACATCAGCTCCAGTTACAGCAGGGGACAGAGACAGCTCTGAAGGTTACCGCTCGCTAGTTGATCCAGCAGAAATATTCACATACTTCACAGAGAAGGCCTGGGACGTACCGCAGATAATTGGCTCTTTCTCTTTGCTCAAAGACAAACTGGGCATAGATAAGGAGGCGTATGGAGTCTCCCTTTATCACTCTTTGAAGAGCAAACTAACGCACTGGAAGGCAAAGACCCTCTGGGAGCTTCTGGACAAGAAAGTAAATAATATTAACTGAACAAAGCAACATTGTGTGTCTGTTTATAAATAATGTACATAAGATTTTGTAATGTGTAATGACAACATTTGGGTGGCATTCAGTTTATTTTAGCTCCGTGTTATAAAAATGTTTTCATTTAGCATTCACATGATGTCTCTATTGTTGCTTCCCATAACAAATTTCCCTAACTCTCTCTCCTCCTCTCTCTCCCTCTCTCTCGTAGGTTCAACTTAACGAGTATAAGAACCAAAAGGCGTGTCAAGGTACCTCGGTATGCGTCGTTGGGTGTGGTCCCGTTGGTATGAGGTTTGCTATTGAGGCTGCGTTGCTAGGCTGTGACATTGTCGTTGTGGAGAAGCGACCTTATTTCTCTCGCAACAATGTTTTGCATTTGTGGCCATTCACTATTGACGACTTGAAGAGGCTAGGGGCTAAGAAGTTTTATGGACAGTTTTGTGCTGGCTCTCTTGATCATATCAGTAAGAACCTGTTCCTCCCTCTCTCTCTCTCTTTTTCTCCTCTCTTACTCAGCTGGCATTTACTACAAATATTTTAAATATTATTGATTATACCTGACATCTTTTCCCTTCGATCCACTTCATCGAACTTGAGAATTAGAGAACATGGACTTTGATAATATCTTTATAATCGTTGCAATTTGTAGCATTAATGAACATGGCCATCATGTACATGTACATGTAGCGTAACATAAACTTGTGTCAGCATAAATTTGTTTGTATATCGAAACATGTGATGATCATGATTTTTCATATTTATGATATTTACTATTTGCAATTTGGCATATTACGTATCATTCCTTTTCATCTGATTCCTTTTATAAGCCAATAAAATGATAAACATAAAGACAAAATGCCAAACGGTTCACATTCTTTTCCTTCTCTTAGGCATCAGATCGCTACAGTCAATACTACTAAAGACCTCACTCATGTTTGGGGTAAGGATTTATTTTGGTATCGAGTTCGTTAAAATTAAAGAACCTGGGGGCGGGAGGGCGTGGCATGCTGACTTCCTCCCTAGCAACCATCCACTTAACGACATAGACTTTAGTGTCCTGGTTGGTGCCGAGGGTAAGAACAGTCGGATACCTGGTTTTGATAGGAAGGAGCTGAGAGCTAAGCTTGCTCTAGCCATCACTGCTAATTTCATCAATCATCGGACACAGGATGAAGCAGCTGTTCAGGAGATTAGTGGAGTTGCTTTCATTTTCAATCAAAAGTTCTTCAAGGACTTACGAGAGGATACCGGGATAGACCTTGAGAATATCGTCTATTATAGAGACGACACTCACTACTTCATAATGACTGCGAAGAAGGACAGTCTGCTGGATAAAGGAGTCCTGATTAAAGTAATTGAAAATGATTGTATGTTATGAGATATTAGTAATTAAAAATCGTTTATAGGCTATAATAGTAATCGTGTTAATTATTATTATTAATAGGATTATCCTGATGTCCAACAGCTGTTGGCTCCAAGTAATAGGAACATGAAGAAAATGTGTGAATATGCCATTGAAGCAGCTGATTGGTCGACTGAACTACCACAGCTGGACTTTGCTGTAAGAGAGAGAGAGGGGGGAGAGAGGGTGAAAAAGGGAGAGAGAGTTGGGAAATAGAGATATGAAGAGGTTACTTGCATTTGTTTTGTAAACATTACTTTTTACTTTCAGTTAAGTGGTAAATTAATTATTTAATTACCTGTTCCTATTTCCTAGTACAGTGTACATAGTGTGTATTCATTTCCCATTTCTCCCCCTTCTTTCTCCCCCCTTCTCCCTCCTCCTCTCTCCTCTCCAATAGATGAATCACAAAGGTCAACCTGATGTTGATCTGTTTGACTTCACCTCAATATACCAAGCAGAGTATGCAGCAAGAGCAGTGAGTAGAGATGACACTGATCTCCTTATTTGTCTCGTTGGAGACAGTTTAGTGCAAGTAAGACATCTTGAAATGGAGAATTATCTCCTTTTCAATTTTCATGAAATTTAACCAAAGACCATGCATATAGTACAGGGACTTTGGTCTTTGGTAATAATAAGTGCATGTACACATGTAGTAATTGACAGAATGGACTATGCATGTACATGTATATAGCATGCAGTTCATTTTTTGGTTGTTATTCATTTGTTATTTCATTATTTACTTTCTGTATCCATTACTCCATTAGCCGTTTTGGCCCCAGGGCACTGGGTGTGCCCGTGGCTTCCTCAGTGCAATGGATGCTGCCTGGATGGTCCGTGGGTTTGGAGAAGGACGTAAAGTACTTGAGCTACTAGCCGAGAGGGAGAGCCTCTTTCAAAGACTCACTCAAACTAAACCAGACAATCTTTCAAAGAAATTTGCAGCTTACACCATTGACCCTAGAACAAGATACCCTAACCTTAATATAGGGGTGAGTGTATAGTCCAGCTGTGTTGTTTATTTGTTGTTCAATAGATCGTAAAACCAGCTAATGTTAAGCAGTTGTATGACTTTGATGGTGAATTGGACCTGACCCCTCCTTCTCCTCAAGCCACGCCTCCTCAACCCCCGCCTCCTTTAGCCACACCTCCTTTAGCTACACCTGTGAATAATAACGGTATATTTAATCAGTTTTTATTTAATTTTAATTATTGATTCATTTTAGTATCGTTAGCACCTCCTGAAATTACACCTACAAAACTAACACCTTCTAAACCTAAGACCACGCCTTCAATAACCACACCCAATGTGACCACACCTCCAAATGATATCGGCTCAAAGGCCACGCCTACAAGTACCACACCTGCAATAGAGACGACTCCAAAAGGCACTCCTACTATCACTCCAAAGAGAGTAGCCCCTCCTCCTCCTAAACCATTGCGTAAGACCCCCTCACGTCCCATTAACCAAGCAGGTCAAGTTACCCGGGCATTATATGGAACACCTGAGAGTAAGCCACGCCCATAACTCCACCCTTGACCACACCTATTCTTATCTAGGTGATAAAGTGTTGGCTGATAAGCAGGTGATAATGAAATGGTTCAAGGAGGAGCTGAAGGATTATCCTAACCTGAGAATTAATGATTTAGCAAGGTCGTTTAGAGATGGGATGGTCCTCTGTTCATTAATTCATCATTACAATCCAACCATAATGTAAGCACACATTGTGTCTACATACAATTGATTGTAGTGAATTTACACTAATGGGTCTTTGAAATATAGAGTGATCTACAATGTATAAGTTAAATGCTATTAATTTTAAAATTCTTAAATCAAACATACCCCAATGCATCAGTAACTGCTAATATAATGCACACACGATTAAAATTGCACTGACAAATAATTACATATTTATTCATGTTTCATTTGCTCCTCTAGCCCTCAGTTCTCTTCCCTCTCTTCTGGTAATCAAATGACCAATAATAAGTTAGCGTTCTCTCTACTGGAGAAGCACTTCAACATCCCTCAGTTGATAAAACCCTCCGAAATGAACGACCCTGATCGCCTAACCCTCTTCACGTACTTGTCCTCAGTCTACGAGACCTTCCTTAATTTAGAGCCTTTACCTCTAGCATCAGTCACTTCTTCAGGTGCTACTCCTTCCAGCGGCTCTAAGAAAGGGAAACTGATGCGGAAGTTAAGTAGGAAGAACTCTAAGAGTCTTTTATCAGTCAGTCCAGCGGACTCATGGGGTACTGATACAAACAGTTTGAGGCGGAGCCTCTCTCCGAATAAAAAAGAGCAAAAGAGCCGAAGGGAGAAGAAGGAGAAGGTCCAAGAGACGATAAAAGAGAAAGAGGAGAAGGAGACAACCCCTCCTCCTGCTAAAGGTGGAGCAGCTGCTACAGGAACTGAGACTAATGCTAAATCAAAAGGACAGTCTGGCCAAGGGCCGAATACTCCAAAATCAGCTCCTAATGTTCAAAAGGTATGACACATTGCTATAAATAGAATTCACGATGATGTAATGATGATGTACTATTAATAGCACGTAAATTGTTGCTAAAAGTGTATTACCATTAATTGTTACTATAAATAGAATTTACAATGATTTAATGATATGCTAATAATAGCATGTATTAATATTGATTGTTACTATTATTAGACTGGTCCTCGTCCTATCAGTACTTTTGGCTCACCAGCTGTGGCTAGTGACATTTGCTTCTTTTGTGAGAAAAAAGTGTATTTGATGGAGAAAATGTCAGCAAACAATGTCTTCTTTCATCGGTAGGCGTCATTTAGCACATTTTAATTTAATTTAATTTTTTTGTTTTTTAGTAATTGTTTTCGTTGCTCTCATTGCAACTCTCAGTTGAATCTCGGGAACTTTGCAATGTCAAAGGGAGAAAACGGAGCACCTGGAAAGTTCTTTTGTAAACCTCACTACCGACAATTGTTTATGGCAAACCCAGAGGTCATTATTATTATTATTATTATTATTATTATTATTATTATTATTATTATTATTATTATTATTATTGTTACTATTATTAGGCTATTAATTATGCTCGCAGTCAGCCTGAGAAGGACAAAAGTTTGTCTCCTCCTCCTACCTCTCCCTCTCAATCAAATCTCCCTCCGATATCTGAGGATGAAGTGGCACCAGCTGCTCCTAATTCTGTAGTTCCTAAAGATGACGAAGAGGTAATAGAAGCCAGAGAAAGGAAAAGGACTCTCACTCAAAAGTTCTCGGACATGTTTCGAAGACGATCATCACGTTCAAGCAGCAAAAGCCCATCACCTGAAAAAGTCAGAGATCGAGAGGGGGGGGGAGAGAGGAGAGAGATTTGATAACTGGTTACCTTTTGTTCTTATAGACTGTTCCTAAACCTAAAAAAGATGAAAATCCGATACTTTATGAGGCGCCACCCACTCCACCAGAGGAATCACCTGTGACCACACCTACCACTACCAAACCAACCATCACTCCATCAGTAGAAGTAACTCCAGATACTACAAGCTCAAGTCCTTTCCGTAAACGAAGTACTAAAATCCGTGGGCGTTCTGGTACGACCCCACCCCCAAGGTCTGACGGTGCTCAGCATTTGTTGAACAGTAAAAAGAGGCGTGGTCAGGCTAGTCTAGTCCGACCAATCATAGCGGTTCAAGACGAGGAGGACGATATAGCTGTGAGCGAGAGACAGAAGCAACAGGAGAGGTTCAGGGAGGCCCAGGAGATACAGAGAGAGATGAGCCAAATTGAATTACAATATGAGGAATTTGAGGAAATAGCACGAGAAATAGAGCAGAATCTGCGAGATGCTGAAGGGAGTGAGTTATTAATAATTATTATTATTATCATATAACCCAAAAATTATTTGTGAAAAACAGCTCAAACTTGCTACGTAGCATAAGGACATCAATGTGTATCAGAAAATGTAATAAAAATTTGGGGTGATTTCGGAGCCATTTTTTGGAAAAAACCATGGGCTATATAGCCTTGGGTATTTTCAGATTTTTGATGCTTTCTTAAAATGGCCGTAACTTGAAAAATTGAAGTCGGAATCAGCTCGAACTTTCTACGCAGCATAAGGACATCGATATGTATCAGAAAATGTAATAAAAATTTGGGGTGATTTCGGAGCCATTTTTTTGAAAAAACCATGGGCTATAGCCTTGGGTATTTTTCAGATTTTACCATTTTTTAAAAATAGTCGTAACTTGAAAAATTGAAGTCGGAATCACCTCAAACTTTCTATACAGCATAAGGACATCGATATGTATCAGAAAATGTAATAAAAATTTGGGGTAATTTCGGAATCATTTTTTGGAAAAAACCATGGGCTATAGCCTTGGGTATTTTTCAGATTTTTGCCATTTTTTAAAAAATGGCCGTAACTTGAAAAATTGAAGTCGGAATCAGCTCAAACTTTCTACACAGCATAAGGACATCAATATGTATCAGAAAATGTAATAAAAATTTGGGGGGATTTCGGAACCATTTTTGGAAAAAACCATGCATGGACCATAGCCTTGGGTATTTTTCAGATTTTGTCATTTTTTAAAAATGGCCGTAACTTGAAAAATTGAAGTCGGAATCAGCTCAAACTTGCTACACAGCATAAGGACATCAATGTGTATCAGAAAATGTAATAAAAATTTGGGGAGATTTCGGAGCCATTTTTTGGAAAAAACCATGGGCTATAGCCTTGGATATTTTTCAGATTTTTGACGGGTATTTTTCATTTTTCATTAGCTGAACAAGAGGACAACTTCATGAGGGCGTGGCTCAACTTGGTCTCAGAAAGAAATGCCCTAGTTCGCCGGACAGCTGACCTAAGTCTTCAAATGAAACTGTTTGGACTTGAGGACCGCCAGTACGAGCTACAGAAAGAGATGAGGGAACTACAAGAGAAAGAGACTGAGGAGAATGGAGATGAACCTGATCCAAACTTTGAGAGACTGTTAGAAGAACTGGTGGAGGTGGTACAGGAAAGAGATCAGATCATCCAACAAGTGGAAAGTGACAGAGTCAGGTAAGAGGTGGATCATAGGACGTTCTGTCTGACATGACGTTAAATTGTTTTACATATAGAGAGTTGGATGAACAAGCTGCTGAAGAAGAAATGATGAATCATCGATTTGGAGAAGGAGACAGTAAGAGAGAAAACAGTTGAATCTATTACATTAATTGTTTTATTTTAAAAACAGTAAAGATCAGAAGATATTCCTTGACAATGTTAATATTTAATATACTCATGTTTATTTTTTGTGTAGGTCCCAGTAGGAGATCAGCCACAATGCCAGTTGAAGGAGGAGGAGGAGGGAAAAAGGAACGGAAAGATAAGAGAACAAGTTGGTGGCCATGGTAGCCATGGTAACCAGTTCTGCTACTCGCCCATAATTATAATAATTAAACAGTTCAATATTATGATAGTTTTCGTATTTTTTAATTTTTTCTTTTCACGTTTTACATATCATCTTTTATGTTCTAGTTTGTCTGTATAATTAATAATAATATATTTGTAAATAATAATTATTATAATAATGTTATAATTATTATAATAATATTAGCTGTGTATGTGTATTAATATTTAAATAATAAATTGGAACAAAATGAGTAAATCAATTGCATACTAGTGTGCCCTTATTATATAATAACTATAAACAGCATAATAACAACAAAATTAGCAATTATTATAATAATATAATAATTATGTTATGCCATACTGCTTCAGTTGTTCCTGTAGATCTCCTTTCTCAGTTACTAATCGGTCAATTTGTCTCAGCTGCTTCTCGTGTGCTAGTTGTAGTGTAGCGTGCTCCATTTGTACTTTCACCAGCTGCTTCACAACCTCTGCTCTCTCTTCAGCCACATTCTTTGTGTCTTCTCTTGATCGTGATAAGGATCCATTAAGCTCAGTGTTCTCCTTCCTCAGTGTATCTATTTCATTTTGTAGTCTCTCAACTGTGGGGTGTGGCTTATCTGATGTTAGGTTGGTATAAAAATCGCACGAGAGTGAATCGGTGTAAGTGGGTGTGGTCTCAAGTAAACCCTGTATTTCTTTTACTAGTGCCTGCAGTTTGTGATTGCTCTGGGTCTTTCCTTCGTTAGCTTTCAAATGATCCACCAGTGATTGTAACAACTTCTCATCATCGACCCCCTCCTCTTGTCTCCTAGCAACAATGGGCGTCGCCACGCCAACGGTTGGCGTAGCAATCCCACTTTTCTTAATAACAAGGGGTGTGGCCATACCAACAACAGGAGTAGCTCTCCCTCCTCCTTCAGCCGTGAGTAGATTAGTATTACGAGCCCTGGGTCCGCGGTTCACAAAAAGGTCAGGGATATTAACCGTTAGATTACGAGGGTGGAGCAGGGGGGCTGGGACAGAGTCTTTAAGTGAGACTTGAGTTTCTGTTAGACGCAACTGGAGCGGGATTGGTACCTCACTCTCAATTTCATCGTCGAAGAAATCCTTCATTACCATAGTGTTCTTCAGTGCTAGGGTCGGCTTAAGACCGTTTACTTTGAGAAAAACCACACCCTCTGGGGTAGACCACATCTCTTTATCAGACTCAGGATCTTTAATGTCACCATCTTCCTTTGGAAAGTAAGTACTAGCTGATTGTCCTAGTTCTAGTCTTGCTTTAATTACTGGAAGGACATCACTATCCCTCTCTCCTCCTTCTTTCTTGATCCTCTTTCTTCTCGATTTCTCGTCATTCATCAGTTTGTATTCCTCTTCCTTGTACTCATTCAAATCAACAGTTCTTACAGCTGCCTTGAAGCAAATGCCTTCTGATGATATAGTGGCCCCGCCCTGAACCACACCTACTTTAGCTACCAGTATATACTCAGGAACTACAAAAGAAGAGAGAGAGGATCCGCCAGTTGAAGACATTGAAACCGATTTCAAACTGTTTGCTACATTTAACAGGTGCGGCTTTAAAGTATCAATAGGAGCATTGGGAATATCAACATCATCGTCAGGAGGCGTGGCCTCAGAATGTGGGAGTGGTACCTCATTGCTGCTAGTACTCTCACTGTTAGGGACTGTATTCTCATTAGCATCCGACGAAACGTTTGAAGAAGATGACACAAGAGGAGGCAGCTCAGTCTGTGTTAAATCCTGAGGAGGTTCAACAAAAATGAAACTGTCACTGTCTTTAGGAGGCCCAGTGCCATTTTGAATAACTTCAGTTTGAGAGAGAGAGGGAGGGAGAGGAGAAGGGACACTATCAGGAGGAAATGGAGTGGGAGGAGAGAAAGACACTTCCAATGGAAAGATAGGACTGCTAGCAGCCGGTGAAGGATCGGGCCCAACTGTTTCTATATTCATAACTTGAGCTGTTGGTCCTGTCTCATGTTTGGCTCCTTTTTTTCTCTTTTTATTGATCCTGGTCAATGTTGGGAGCATTATCGATACCTCAAGCCCAGATAGTGAGACACCAGCTGTTACGTAGTCACCCTGTACCTTTGAGTCCACCCTCTCCCTCCCTCTAGCAAAGGCAGCCTTTAACTTTCCTTTTATGTCATCAGTTGATTCAGAACTCTCTCCATCGTCAATCGATTCAATGTCACTCCCGTCCTTCGTAACTTGAAAGGCTTGAGTACCCTGGGACTCTATCAGTGTATCAATAGAGAAGTACTTCATTATTCGGTTCTTAAAGTACTGGAATGAATCCTTCAGTCTCATCAAGAACAGGAACTGAAGGTGTTCTAATTGAAGAGAGATTGGACTAGCGATATCCACCATTGCATAAATAGAGGGGAGGTGGGAGGAAGTAGGCGTGTCATTGGGCGTGGCTGCCAAGAGTATCTCTTCAAATTTCTTTGGTTGGAACAGCCAGAGAGAGAAAGGAAAGTCCTGTACAAACTGCTTTGTGTGTAGAGTTGCTTTGTGGCTCATGTCAGCAACAAACGACAAATTAACGCAACGTGTGTGGGCGTGCCAACACTCCAACATCAATAGATTAATCTGATTGGTCGATGCTATAGAGTGGGCGGAGCTTAAAGTTATATTAGGAGCGGAGAGGTGAGTCTGGTCCCGCCCACCACTGGCATGTAATAAAGATATGTTTGATGCATTTTTATTAGGAGGGGAGGTGTTGACTCCGCCCATAATCTCCGCCTCAATTAGTTCAACGAGATTACTAGGGAGAAGGGATGGATCATTAGACGAATGTGGAAACTGGTTCTGTGAGTTTGGGAACCAGCCGGACTTCACTCTCTCCCAGGCTTTTAGGAATGTTTCATCTTTAATGAGGAAGAGGAGGGTGTGGTTTTCAACAGTTATCCCGCCAGTTTCAATTTGTAAAGCTCTGGGACGACCATCAGTAGAAACCTCATTAACAGGCAATGTAATCTGTAAAACAACAACAACAACAATAATAATAGTAAATAATAATAACGACAACAATAATAATAATAAGAGCAGCACAATGAACACTTGGTCTAGCTGCTACAGATTCAAGTTTCAAACAGGACAATAATGAATGTTATCTAAAAAGGTGATAATAGCTGCGGACTCCATACATAGGCCAGCCGCTAGTTATCTCCTTTAGACAAATCAAGCACAACTAAGTGTGAAATTGGAAGTGCTCTTAAAACAACAACTCTTAAATCCGATATAATAATAATAATAAATAATAACAACAACATAATGACAGCTGTTTCCCTCACTTTGCTGTATGGTAAATAAAACTTCATGTCAACTCCATTTAGTTTATTGACCACGTCTCTCTTGGCCTTCAGTTCCTGGAGTAAGTGCTGTCCTTCGTCGTGAGCTGAGAGCAACAGGTCAAGGTTGACAGTTTGAGCAACACCTTGGACAAACTCTGCCAGCCAGAGGCACTGCTCTTGATGGAAGTTAACATGTATCGGTGATATATAAATGAATATATTAGGACGAGGTACTACATAAATAGAGAAACCATTATGATAAAAGTCAAGTATTGTTAATAATATTCTGCTTACCAAGGAACCTGTTTCCTTCAGCAATGGGGTAATAGTATGTTGTTATCCCACACTGGAAAGCTGGGTTCTCAATATCGTTTGGAAGATTAAAGGTTTCCTTATCGCAGGATATTATTGGTAAGAGTTCTTCAGACGATGCATCAGCGATAGACTTGATACTGAAATCAGAGCATCTAATAACCACACCTCTTTCTCGCAGTCGATAAATATTAACAGAAGACATATTGATGTCTTGTCTCTTGCTCGCTTGAGTCACTAAATTTGAGGACCAATCCACATTGTCTTGTAGCTTAATGTTTGATTTGTTCCAGTGCTTACGACCGCTCTTAGCCAGCTGGTCAAGATAGACATCAACTAGCAACTTCTTCACTTGGAGGAGGAGAGATGCCTTCTCGTCACAGAGTTGCAAATCAACGTTACCTGTTTTCAAGTGGAAGGAATCCTGTACCACTTCGTGTGACGGGAGGTTCTTAACACCTATCTGGTACTCTAAAAGTCGATTCACTAAACCTCTTTCTTTCTGAGCATCTTTCTCGGTCCGTCGTGGTGACTTCTTTCTCTTTCCTTTTCTCTTGTCGTCCTTACCATCTCCTGGCCCATCTTGAGAAGACCCGTAGGACGTGACGCTCTCTAAACTCTCAAGACTGTCTCGAGAAGAACCAAGCCGAGAGAGTTCCCCCTCTCTCTCATGCTGTGCAAAGTTAACAGCCGCATCAGTCAGTGACTGGACTAGCCTTGAGACAGCCTTCAGCTGCTGCTGGGTCACAACCCAAACAAGGTCTCCTAAATTAACGGAGACCCGAGTGTGTAGAACCTTACAGTCACTCAAGCGTCTCTTAAGAGCTACTCTTATTTCCGTTAGACTAGTAACAAGACGCAACTGAGAAAGAAATGAGGAGGGGGAGGAGGGAGAAGGGGAAGGAGGAGTTGAAGAGGAGGGAGAGTTGGATCCATCTTCAACTCCCTGTCCTTCTATCTTTATGCTGCTCCATGTTGCCTTCTTGTATATTATAACGGAGCCTTCTTCTTCGTTTTTATATCGACAGTGCGAGAGTATATCTGGGGTCCATGATGAATTTGTGCTCTGAATCAGGACATCTGATATCTCAAGTTTAGCGTTAAAAACCGGATTTGAAAACTGGACAAGTATCGTGTTGATTTCAATCCTCATTCCGTCGATAATCTTCTCAGTCAAACCGTAAGACGATGGAGAATTGGACTGGCCGATACTGCAGGTGGCAATAAATAGATTATATTAATGAATGCCACAGTCTTACTTTCCAAAGAGATCAGATTTCTCTCTCTTTGTAACCTCACGAGAAGTTGACACTTCTATTGTGACCATGCCAAGCATCTGTTGGATAGGATAGAACAACATACCAACATACTCACACACTGGAATGAACAGAATATGACAAAGAGAAGAATACTTGTGGATTTCTTAAGGTTGCTCAAATTTGGCTAATGACCCTGTACTCTATAGTACAGGGTCATGGCCAAAAATAGCAGGGAAAGAATTCTTCATTTTAATAATGTTTTCTTATACATATACATGTTCTTATGTTGTGTAGCAAGTTTGAGGTGATTCAGATCAAAATTGGATTTTTTATAAATTTTTAAAGTTACTCAAAAATTGGACCAACGTTCCTGTACTATAGTACAGGCTAAAAACCACTGGAGTGAGTTCTCTACATTTTCTCATAAAACTCCATAGGAAATACTCCAATTTATGATAGTGCATGTAATTCCACATGTATCGGGCTTACAATTTGAAAGCAAAAATAAATTGAAGACTGATAAAAACACAAACGATACTACACTAAGAAATATCAAACACGAGAGAGTACTACATGTGTACTATGACCCTCATTTCCTCTGACCCTCATTTCCTCTGACCCCAGACCACTCCCATAACCACACCCTCCAACCAATACTTACGCATTTAATAGGACTCTTGTTGAGATCAGTAAATGGGATGTCAAGTTTGATCATATCACAGAAAACATGATCGATACTGATCCATGGCGGTAGCTGTAACGCACTTGAGATCACGTCAGTGTTAAGATCAAGGTTACGCAGCTCTCCCTTCCCTCTGAGGAAACTCAGGGATATATCACTGGGTTTAATGTCCCGAGTAAACCTGGAGTGAGAAAGAGAGAGAGAGAGAGAAACAATATTTTAATGTTGCAAATGAAAGACTGGTGTATCAGTATCTGACGGCTTCTCCTCTCTTTTCTCTTCTCTTTTGCACTCTCTCACTTGGCTAGCTTCTCTACGATCTTTTTCTTCACAAAGTCAGCCATTACGTTACAGCAGAAGCTAGTGGAAGCTCGAAGAGAAGGAAGGGCTCCACCCAAAGCAGTTTCTAGGTGGAGCTGAGTAATAACAATGAATAATTAATGAGCTGTTGACCCCCGCGCGAGGATTTTAGTTTATCCCGTATACTTTGTCCTGGACTTATACTAATAATATACGGATTTAAAGGTAATTATTATGACTATTTTAAATTTTAAGTTGTTGTTTTCTGCTTAATCAATTATCTGAAAAATATATAATAAATAAACAAAAAATAATAATAATAAATGAATAATATTCATATGCTCAGCAGGTTTGACGAGCTCCCTGAAGTCCTTGAATTAAAGGATTGTCTCAAAAACCCTAAATTAGTCAAAGACGAGACACTATTAGACCTCATCCGACCCTCTGCTGGTGTGGCTCCACCCCCTTCCTGCACGGGCGGCTCCAGTGAATGAGATTGAGCGTGTAAGTCGTCTTCGTTTACTGGCACATGCTGAGTCAGCAGTTCTTGTAGGGCGGGGACTGGCTCAAACTTGTACTTGTTTCCCTGGAAGTGACGAATCTCTTCAAGTTTAGCGTATAACTGTCGCCTCTTATGAAGGTTTATTAGATTGTGGAGAAAGTCTGGATTGCCATCCAAAATGAAGGTGATGTCACGAGTGAAGATCCCTATGTAAGGAAGAGGTATATGCATTAGGTAATAATGTATGTGCTTATGTATACTAACCAAAGTATGGGACAGCTGGTATTCGTGTCTTTTCTATTGCTTCCCGGTAATTTTTATAATTATTGCGCTGACTAAGGAGCTCTGTCATACTATCTAATTCATCTTTGAATGACTTGCCAACGTGCTACAAGAGAGAGGGAGAGAGAGAGTTTATTCATTTACAATTGTGATTTCCTATATACCTGCCATGTTTGTTTAAGTCTCCTAATAGAAGGCGAGTGTAGTCCAAGAACGATGGCCATAGTTGATGAATAGTTCCTATACTCAAGACAGGACTGTGCCGTAGTGATGAACTGCTGTATGACCCACCCCCTGTCTTCCTCCTGACTGTACTGGAGTATAGAGTGCACCGTCCAGTTACACAACTGGTTGAATCTCTGAGCCAACTGCTCAATTCCTACCTCTTGACCACACCCACTTTGCATGGACGAGAGTGAGGATGAGACCAGGTTATGAGTGGAAGGTGTTGGGTTAATGGTTTCTCGTAAAGACCGTGGGAAGAGTCCGGCTCGTTGTAAGAGTTCTTCCCGTGATACGGCACTGAGTTTCTCGTGATCAATGAGTGTTACCTGTCTTGCTATTTCAATCGGGTGCATGAGGATCTCTTGTAGTGATAATAGACGAATATCAATGTGTAATGGTATCTCGGGGTCTGGTGGACAGTCACAGAAGGAGGGGTAAGAGCCATCAATGTCAGGATATGGGAACTGAGACTTCATACTTCCACCTGTGCTGTGTTGTAAGACCAAGCCCCCATCATTTAGTGGGGTCAATGGCATTCCGATAGCTTTTATAGTTGTGGGTGTGGCCACATCAGTAGGCTCCACCCCTTCTTTTTGTATCGGCGTTATAGTTTCCTCAAAGTCGGAGGCTTGTTTGCCTACGAGCCCATCCTGAGGCGGTGAGCTTTCAGAAGATAATGAATTAATGTCGTTGGGAGCTGAGTATTGAATGGAGGCCGGAGATTGTCCCCACCAATCCTGGAGGTCCTCCTTCTCAATGTCCTACAAATGTTATCATAATTTAAATATTGAAATGTTTAAAAATATGTGGTAACAGTACACAGACATGTTGACAGAATCTGCATAAAGTACGTGATTAGAGGAAATGTAAATATCCTGTTCACTACAGGTGTAGTACATCAGTTGACAAGAGAACAGCAATAGCTTGGAATGCTCTTTTAGAATACAATAGTATTGGGTATTTTATTATATATGGCTATAAGGGAGAATTCTCTATTTGTATTACATTTTCCAATGCATATGTATGCATGCACTAAACTCACATGGAGGACTTTTTGCCCAAGATTATCCAAAACAATCTCAATTTGTCTTGCAAAGCTAAAGAGAATAACATCACCAATGATGCCACACACACACACACATTATGTAGTACAATGTACCTCTCTCTCTCCACACTGAATAGAACTTTATGGCCAGTTGAAAACTGAATGATTAGACTGCAAGGATCAGCCGGTAAATGTTGCACATTTTGTATGTCCTGCAGTGAGAATGAGGACACGAGTTCTCTTGTTTTTTCATCAAGGAATATCATATGATGGTCGCTTAGCCCGAGCAGCTGTGAGTAATGGCCTCTTCTAAACTTACCCTCAACTGGAACCTAGACAGAAAGAGAGAGAGAGCAGGGTATCCTTCTTTATCAATTAATACTGGATAGTACTTACTTTAACATTGTAGAATGTACTGTGATACCCTGGGGCTGTCTGGCATTTCTCTATGTACATGTGCTTAGCGTTTCGATCGGAAAGTCCCTCAAATTCGCTCAGTTTATCTCTAACTCTGCGGATTGATGAGAGATAGGAGAGTGTAATAATGTTGATAATGCTTACTTCTTGCTGATGTTCTTCATTCTAAAGCACCACGCTGGTAAGGCATTTTTAAGATGATTCACATAAGTACGTGTCTCCTTCTTGCTTTTAGCTCCTTCCATGAATGCCTGATTTAAAGTATTATCAACCAACGTCTGTAAAAAAAACAGATACAGGACAGATACTTCCAACTATTATAATCAATTATCAATTATTCTACCTCAATGTGCAGCTGTAGACCAGCCAGGTGGATTGCTGTATCTAGCGTTACTGGCAAAAGATCTTCACTGATTAATTTCTTGCACTGTTATAAGTAATTGCAATAAAGATAACTTAAACATTTTAATAATTATAACATACTTGAAAATAAAGGTTTTCGTGATGAGGTACCCTATATTTGACGTCATTAGCCGAGAGAGAAGTGGTGAGGGATTTGTTGCCATCACTCTCAGCTGCTGTCCTTTTAACAGGTGGTTTGTGGAGATCTTGTAGCAACGACTTTAATCTGTGAGCATGAGGAGTGTAGGCTCCTTTGAACTTACGTAACCTGTGGATCAATTCACCTAAATAATCCTAAAAATACAATTTGCGAATAAAGAAAATTTAATACACAGGTATACAGTATATGTAATTACAGCCCTATTGTTCTTATTAAATTCCTAACATGTTAAACATATTTCTGTACATTCTCACTCACTTGTAGTTGAGGTATTAATCTGAAGTCTTCTTGAAATGATTCTATCCATTGTCCGATAACGTTAAGAGTTGCTTGGTGCACTGGGGGTATGCTGTATTGATGCTGGAGCTTTATTTCACTGATGTCCTTCGACCAATCAAAAGGGTTTGGCTCAAGATTAGGAGTATCAATGCTAGAGGAAAAATAAAAATAATAATAAATTATTTTTATAATGATTCTTACCGGTGTAACAGTAGTCTCATTAATAAAAGTGGGTGGAGGAATGACCGATATGTCGTCAAGAAGAAGTCGATGGTTTTTTCTCTTGAGAGATGAAGTCCCGAGGCTGTGTCCCTCAAAGCAATCCCGCCCCATAACTCTTTAGTATTTGATGTCAATAGCTCAATACAGGCTTCGACAGTTAGACCCCTATTGAGGGAAAATAAATACATGTACCGGGGTACATGTACTTGGAAAAAAGTTTTAACATCAGTATAGCAATTTAAGTCACAAGTCAATGTACTGTACACACACAGTATAATATAGGTTACCTCACGTAGGTGTGCTGGTGTCCATCAATTGCTTTAATTACGTAATCATTCTCATCCTCTCCCCCACTTCTCCTTCCCCTTCCGCTGGTAAAAAGGTTACAGCCAAACAGTTGGAGTTTCCCCAGATACACTAGTGCTCTTATGGCATGATACCTTGCCTTAGGACCGTTGCTTAAAATAGGACGTAGTTTCTCCACAAGTCCAGCCTGGAGTAAGTAAGGATGACTCTGGATGTCTAGTCCTATGTTAGCTAGTGTTATGATACTGTTGGTTCTGTTTTCAAGAGACACGTCGGCAGTATAATCAGAGAGGAGCGATATGTAGCGTAGGCCAGACAGAGCTCGCTGCATTTTTGTATGCGAACTTGTCACTGCTAACAACTTGAGTACAATTCTTTTAGCTTCTTGATTGGTGACCATATCACCATGAAACGTGGGAGAAGCTAAGCTGTTAGCACTACTTGATTCACTCGTGAAGCTCGTGGCTCTATCCTTGACGTTTGTTAGTAACTGATGGTGCAAGGCCAGCCTCTCATCTCCTTGGTGATATGAAGAGGAATGAGAGCTTGTGTGGTGTAATGAGGGGACATGGTGCATAGAGGGGGTGTGGTCACCTTGTGGGTGTGGTGAAGAGGAGGTTTGGTGGGTTGAGGGGGTGAGGTGTGATCCGTGTGACGAGGGGGTCCGGTTTGAAGGGGCATGATGAGAGCCGTGGGAAGAAGGAGCGTGATAATCAAACGTTGTTGTAGAGGAAGAGGAGGGACCTCTCTCCCTTTGAGAGCCCAACCCACTGTCCAGTTCCGGATCTGAATGTTCTAGGAACACTAGTAGGGGGGCACAAGGGATCTTTGCTATGGTTCTTAGATAATTATTATCACCATCGTTGACTAGTAGATGGTCTAATATCATAAGACATGTACCCTAAGAAATAGTTACGGATAAGTACATACATTATTCATAGTGTGTTTCTTTACAGGTATTGGATCTCTGGTTGACAGTAGCTTCAGTACAATGTCCATCATCCCAGACTCAACTGCAGTCTTCCTTCCATCTGATCCGCCCATCTAAAGGTCAGAGGATTAATAATCAACAACAATTAATAATGAATATAAATGTTTTGAGTAACATTTGCTTGTTTACATAAAATAAAGCTTATCACATTGTAACTTTATCAACACACTTACCCCCCCTCTCTCTCCCACTTACTTCAAATATATTATACACAAGGTTGGCAATGTTTGACACTGTTGAATCACTTGATGATTCAGCTGAAGCAGCTCCTACTAGTCTATCCTTGAAGTCCGATAGACATATGTGTGATATGAGCGGTTGGATGCACTCTGGGTTCTGAGACAGAAGACAAAGCACGTGAAGGCTCTTAGCTCCTGGTTCCCCTGGCTCTGAGTCCATGGGGAAATTGAGGAGTGATTCAGTGAGAGGGTGTGGGTTGGAGGAAGAGGATGAGGACCCCATTGATAGTGTGGATCCTGTACTTCCGATCCTACGATGGCCTCTCTTTGTTTGGAGGTGAAGTGGTGAAAGGCCTGATACTGTCTTGCGTCTTGTTTCTGAGGAGGAGCATGAGTCATTAGTTTCAATACTGCTCGTTATAATATGATCGTAATGACTCCTCGGTCCTCCTTTCTTGATGGCTGGAACTGGAAATACCGATGGCCTTTGCTCTGCTGCTTTATTCCTTTCTTCTTTATAGTTCTGTTGCTTTATCCCAAAAGGTTTCATATCTTGAATCTCATCAGCTGCTAGTTTGATCTGATCGATGATGTCATCAAGTTCAGCCATTGCCTCGTCTTTACTTTTCGGCTCTTTTGTGGGCGTGGTTTGCACCTCATCCTTCTTCAAATCTCTTCGTGATACTTTCGGTGATATTTTGATATGAGAGAACCCAGGTGAGTCTGGTCTGTTATGATCCGAGGTTGCTAGTTCCATTTCTAAGTCTTTAAAAGCAGCGCTGAGTGTGGCATCACCAATCGTGTCCTTACCCCTTCTCTCCCGGTTGCTACGGTAATAAGGTGACGAAAGGGGGCGTGGTGGGGGCAGTTCCCGGTGCTCAAAATGCTTCAATAATTTTTTGAAGTCAAAGTCCGGGCTCAGCGGTGAGCTGTCTTCTTTGCTCATGTCTCCAGCAGTGCTTGACAGCTCAGGATCACTCGTGGAGCGTTTCAAGGCACTACGAGAGTTCTTACTGAAGTGTATTAATTTATTGAGTCCTTTTTCAACCTCCTCTTTATCAGCTTCTAGTTGCAACACGTCTATTGGTAAAGCTAACGGAAACTTTAACTTTTGCAGTCTGTCCTGTCTAATCATTTCATCTTCTTCGGCTTCTAAAAGCTCAGAGAGGTTACTAATGCTGTGACTTATCTTTTTAAATTTATTGTGTTTCGACGTTCCTCCTCCTCCTCCTCCTCCTCCTCTGATTTTAGACTTGAGAGATTTCGCTTGCTCTTTTGCTCTTTCAAGGAATTCATTAAACTTGTGATGTGAATCAGAGAGAAGGCCGGGAGGGGCTGCAGTGGATGTGCTTGCTGGAGCAACTAGCTTCTCCTTTGGATCACAAAACGACTTACACATTGAAACTATGAGCCGATTCTGCATCTCTTTGAGGTCCTTAAAAATAAAATAAAATAAAATAAAAATATGATGAATGGACTCCTTACTGGTAGCATGTCTATTGGTCTTATTCCTATTTTATTCTGCTTTGATATCATGGCCCCATACTGGAGCAATATCCAGCAAACCTCGTGCTGCTCCCTAGTGCTAGCACTGTAATGCAGTGGAGTATTCCTATGTACAATGAGGGGGGACTGAGGTGAGGATTAGTTCAATGTTTGTTTACTTTTCGTCATCCTGTGCATTTGGATTGGCTCCTCTTTCCAATAAGCTAGTGATGATGTGTTTGTTACCGTCGCTAACAGCTCTGTGGAGTGGGTGGAGCTTGCTATTGTTACGATGCTCAAGGGAAGACATTCTAAATGATAAAAAGAAAATTATTTCTGTCCTCCGACAAGCTGAGGTACAGAGTAACAGACAGTGGGACTGTAGCAATACAGTGTCGATGCAATCAAACAGTTTGTACTGGTTGTTGGTACCTTTCATGTAGTATCTTTAATGCCCTTTCATTCTGCATAGCCACAGCGTAATGGAGTGGATTGTTGCCATCGTGATCACAAGCATCAACCGAAAGCATGTGTTGATCCAGTAGATAGGACAGTAGCTGGTCACTGGAGAAGTTAATGGCATGAAGTGCTCTCTCAAACGGAGACTGTGGATGAGGGTTACTAGTGATTGAGATAAAATTATAAACTTCACTACACAAAGCTAATATTTTCAATTCATTTACTTGCAAGTTTGTCTCAACAATTCGTTGCTTTCCTTGACTCGTTTCCTAGCCTCTGACACCACCTCTATCTTCTCAGTCCTGCTCATCTCTCCCGCTCCTTTCTTCCGTTTCCATGGAGATGGCTTTGACGGCAGAGCGACAGCCAATGAAATTACAGGAGATGGTTCCTTGCTTATCTATAGATCAATAATAGTAAAACGAGTTTTAAGAACTTGTTATTCTTACGGATATAATTGGCGCAGGCTCCGAATTAATTGTCCTCAAGCCACTGTCCGATTTTCTTCTCTGGTTTATTCTATTGTTAGGCTCCTGTGACGTCATCTCTTGTGATTCTAATAATAGAACTGGTAGTGGTATCTCAGACTTCCTCCGATAAGATTTGATGACCGCCTTGACACTTCTGTGTATTGATAGGACCACATCTGAAGCCTAAAGGGTACAACATAGAGTTGTAATGGAGTTGTGTTGATGGTATAATAAAGACCCAATGATCAATGTGTTTGTTGACTGGTAATAGACACTGCTGAGAGTACATGACTGCTTCAGTGTGTATTGGAAGGATTAATCCACTGAGATTATTAATTATTATCAACAGGATTAGTTACATTGGATTGCCTGTAGCGCATGTGTGTGTGTTTGGGTGTGTGTGTTTGGGTATGCTGGTATGTAATTGCTGAGAGCGTGTGAGTATTATGATTTATTATTAGACACATCAACTCATTCAACCATCAATTGACATCAACACAACACAAATCAACGCACACACACACACACCCTTAAATTAATACTAAAGGCAAGGAATGAAAACAAACAAGACTTGCTTTGAATCACTTTTGTGTGTTATCAAATTACATGAACAAAGCATTTCCTCATAATTATGTGTATAATAAATTATCATTATTGTTGTGACATTAATTTTGCATTGCTTCAATTTGTTTATTGGCTGTGTCACTTTCTGCCGTGCAAATATTGGCAGCGATTGGTGTGCCACCCCCTAATACATTAGAAGGTAACCAATAATGATTGAGACTGTAGTAACTAATGCTTGGTGGTCAATTATCTCATTCTGTGTTTGTAGTAGCCGCTCATTAAAGTTTTGTTGTCATTATTGTTATTATTATATTATTATTATTGTTATTATTATTATTGTTATATACCTCTTTGTTGCTTTTAGCTTGAAAGATGTGACATTGTTTTATCCACGGGCCTGAGCTGAAGACCAGTCCAAAGCAGTCATTGAAGCCTTGAGCAGTGTGCTGCAGACATTGTGAAATGTTTGTAAGAGGAGAAGTGAGTAGCTCCTGCTCTCCTTCTTCTCCCATCCTCTCCTTCACATAAAGCTGAGGTCCCTGGCAGTATATCTGGACTCTCTTTTGGTCCGTAGGAGACTGCTTGACTGCCATTATAGCTAGCGTTACTTCAGAGGAGGCTCTGGCGTCAGAGAGAACAGCATGTCCTAAGTACAGAAGAGTGAATCCTTCCTTCCTCAGCACTTTCTCCCATTTCTTTTGCGTCTTGAGAGATGGTCTATCAGACTCTCCTCTGCTTGCTAGTCGAATTATTTTCTTCATCTCTTCCTCCTCCTACTTACTATTACTATGCTGCTTTGTGTTGGAGTATCAACTTTTATTTTTTCCTCTGCACATCAACTCGCAGGGAGGGGCTCGTCAGCTCCTGGAGGTAATTAGCAGGTGGGATGTCACCAATGGAGGTCTCAGCCCAGGCTCTCACGGGAGCTCATCTAAACTCTCTCTCTTAAAAACACTGACTCCTCTCTCTTCTCTTATATTTTCTGTAGCTTCTGCTTGTATTGCTTAGTATCATAGTATGGATTCTACAAAGAAGTCCATAACTTTTATTAATAGTAATAATAATTATTATTAATTATTATTGCTGCTAACCATAAACAAATGAATATCATTATAATCTACCAGGTCACGTTCATAACTCATGAATATTATTAGTAAAACAATGATCACGTGATCTAATTTCCTTGGGATGGGTCAGTAGGCGTGGCTTAGCTTGCAGCAAATTCTGTGTGCATGAAGAAAGGAACATAAAAGGTAGCAAATGAATCTGTACTTAAATAGTTTAAATTATTCTTGTAGGCCGTAAAGAGAGGCTAGTATTAAGTAGGACCGATTCTGGCCGGGGAAGAGAGAGACAGAGATGGGTAAAGGAGAACTGATAAAGGCAGCAAAAACTGGTGACATGAGAACTTTGGAAAGACTCCTCAGTCACACTAAACGTTCCTCAGTTATTGGAAAGTAAGTATAACATAATAAACTGTAATTACAATTTAAAACCATTGGAGTAGCATGCGAGCTACAGGTGTAGTAGTGGGCAGTGATATTTATATATAGTGAGGTATTGTGGTAAGTATGGTCTGTATATACAGTACATTATGAATGTAATCCATCAGTGTACATGTACTGTAGTCCAGTGTGTCTCAAGATAATGTAATATTGTATGTCCATGGCTCATTGCTTTCCATAGTTTAAGACTCAATTAACATTCCTGATGATTACGAAATATCTAATTCTCTTGTGGCTGGCTCCATTGACATCATACTGTCTTGTTGTTTTTGTATGTGTCTTTAAATTAATGTACATGTACATCTGGTCATGTATGCGTGTGCATTAGTGCATGGTGTACTGGTGTTATTGTTATTTTTATGATAATAAATAAAGTCTTATTTTGTTTTTGTTTAATGCATGTTAGTGCAAGTTAGTCATAAGAATAACAGTCTCTCTCCATTTCTCTCTCCCCCTTCCTCTCTCCCTCCCTCCCTCTCCCTCCCTCTCCCTCTCTCTCTCTCTCTCTCCCTCCCTCCTTCCCTCTCTTTCTCTCCCTCCCTTCCTCCTTCCCTCCCTCTCTTCCCCTCTCCCTCTCTCTCCCTTCCTCCTTCCCTCTCTCTCTCTCCTTCAGTATAAAGAAGAACCTACATCCAAACATACAAGATGAGCTAGGTTACACATTACTGCATCATGCAACTCTCAACAGTCAAAGAGAGACTGTCTCATTCCTTATTAGGAACGGAGCTTCAACAACCATTCCTGATTCATCAGGTAGGCGTGCCCTCTGTTGCTAGCCACACCTCCTAACAACTATCTCCTTATAGGTAGTTTTCCGTTACATTTGGCATCTTGGAAAGGAGACATTGAGATTGTCAAGTTGCTAACGACACAAGGTCCTTCCAGGGCTAACGTTGACCAGCAGAGCAACTCTGAAGACACTGCTCTTCATTTAGCAGCTCAATATGGCTACTGTGGAGTAGTGGAGTTCCTATTAGAAGTGAGAGAGAGAGAGAGAGAGAGAGAGGGTGAAAGATGTGTACTATTATCAAAGCTATGTATTGCATTACAATAACTGTCAGTATTGTTTCGATGATTATTATAATAATTATTATTATCTTTAATTTAGAGACACGCTAATCCAATGATGAAGAACATTAGAGGAGAGACTCCATTAGATCTAGCGGCTCAGTTTGGACACATTGATACTGTGAGTCTCCCTCCCTCCCTTCTCTCTCTCTCTCTCTCTCTCTCTCTCTCTCTCTCTCTCTCTTTGTTTTGTCTTGTATTCTTTGTTGATCTATTTCATACATTTGCTTTACCAAAAATTTATAAATAATAACAAATAATGTAATTATTTTTACATGTACTTGTATGATGAAGGATGGTTTCAACATTATGATATCAAATTTATTTTTATTGTTATTGTTAATGACGTGGAATGTCACTAATTCCGTGTTTTGGTATTTTTATTGATTGTATGTGCAGGTGTTGCTTGCACCTGGGTGTGGTTTATATTAATTAATTAACTAATAGGTACACATTCTTATATCTCACTGTCCTGAGACCTTGAGACTCTCACGTCCAGAAATGTCAGCGCTTCATTTAGCGGCACGTAACGGACACTCTGTCGTAGTACTCTCACTAATCAATGCCGGTATTCCTGTAAATACAATGGTAATAATAATAATAATAATAATAATAATAATAATAATAATAATAATAAATTATTATTATTATTGTGTCCTTATTTTTTAGTGCAAAAGTGGCTCTGCATTACATGAAGCTGCACTTTGTGGAAAAGAGAATACTGTTAAACTGCTACTTGACAAAGGTTTATAAGCCACACCTATTAACTCTACCTACTGACTCCACCCATTAGGTATAGACATTAATATTAAGAATGAGGATGGTCGTACAGTGATGCAGCTCTTGACTGATTTTAATAATAAGAAATATGATTCTATCAAGGAGCTTATTCAGAAGTATCAGTCAGGAGAAGCCACACCCACTGGTCGATACATGAAACCCATGAGACACAAACTGCTGGCGATACCAAGGAAAGACTCAAAACCTTCTCAGACTGTCAGTGCAGCAACTGAACTAACACAACTAGTGTATCATAAAGGTACCTAATAACTATTAATAACTACTGTGTGAAAATACCCTCTGCTTAGGAGAGTTTATTTCCTGATACTTATGTTGTGTAGAAAGTTAGAGCTGATTTCGATCAAAATTAGATTTTTTGTGAATTTTTAATGTTGTGTAGAAAGTTAGAGCTGATTCCGATCAAAATTAGATTTTTTGTGAATTTTTAAAGTTCTTTAAAAGTCATTTTGTTATTTTTAGATGAGGCAATTGTCGTTTGTGGGCGTGTCAGTGCTAAGGTGTACATTGGGAGGGTCCGAGGAGTAACTGGTGCTTTCCCTCTTAAAGAAACCCGTCTCTATCAAGGTAGGGTACACGCCTACTTACATTTATTTTATTATCAGTTACTTTATACTGTATGTGCTCCTCTATAGATATTGATGGTAAACTGAACCGTGTGTATCCAAAAGACATTATGGAATCTGAAGACGGTACATGCTGATTGTTTTGTTTTTCCTGTTACCATAGTAACACTATAGGCTCGCTACATGTACTTCAACACCCACTGGTTAATGATGTGGAGCAACCACAAGCCAACGATAATAATGATGTAACCACACCCACCTTTAATGAATATTAATTATTATCATTATCACTTTAGTCGTCAAGATTAAGTGTCCCAGGTGCAAAGGGACGAAGTGCTAGTCTTTTATCGACCAGCGATGAGAAAAAGAGAAAGTCTCGTCTAACGGACAAAGAGAAGCGGTTTATTCTCTCGAATGATAAAGGAGACTACTCTCAACTGGCTCCAGTATCAGCTCCATCAACTTCGACAGCTGATGTCCGTAAACTGACAGTCTCTCCGCCTCCTAAGGATTCCAACGGAAAGGATTACATTGGGTCTTATTATTTGTTGGAGGTTGGGAACTTTGAGGAAGGAGAAGGCGGAGCTAGAGAGAGAGCAGACATACCTCCTCCTCCTGCCCACGCCCCTCCCCGCCCATCAGTGATGGATCGTAAAGAAGGGGCTACCCCTCAGTATGAGAATGTTAAGTTGAGGTCTTTCTCATCAGTTGCTGAACTTGAGAAACCTCGTTCAACATCTGACGGGTCTCTCCTCCGTCCTCCGGCAGACGGAGCTGGTGAGCCACCTCTTCTTCCTCATAAACGCTCAAAGTCTTTTCAAGTTTCGTATGAGAACGTCACATTTAAACAAGTCCCGCCTACTCACGGCAACGAAGGTACAACCTCTCCAATAACCATTCCATCCCTCCCTGGCGATTATAACAATGACACGATGAGCCGACGTCCGCCAATGCCACTCCCTTCTCCTACACCTGTTGAAAATTGCGACGATGTTGCGATGGCAACTGTTTGCGGTGGTAAATTTGAAATAAAGGAGGGAGATGAGGATGTCATGGTATCCTTAATGAATCCAAACTACTCAAAAGTATTGTTTCAGAGAGGAGGAGGAGGAGGAGGAGGAGGAGGGGGAGGAGGAGGAGGAGGGGGAGGAGGAGGGAGGGGTCAGTATGAGGATATTTCTTTTCGGGATACAGTAGTGGAGAGGAGAGAAGAGAGACTGACTTCACCTGGTCTGTGGATAATACCTAGTGATAATAATCCGTTTGCTGGTCTAGTGGAGAGTGGGTCGGTGGTCGAAGGATTATCTGACGATTTATTTGATAGTTTTGATGACTTGCCACCTGGTAGGAGTAGATTGAAATCAGTTTGGGATGACAGACGAGTTAAACAAGAATGGAATCAAGTAATTCACAATATTGATGATGATGAATATTTATGATATGCTCCTCCCTCAGATTGATGATGTATTGAAGGATATGGCCACTGGAATTAGTGAAGTACCTGTTGAAACCACACCCAGTTCAAACCCCGCCCACAGTCATCAAAGTAATAATGATAATATTAATGTTTTTTTAATTAGCTGCATTTACGTGTTCATAGCAATATCACATGGCAATATCCCCAATATGTATGTGTAGTGAAAATTGGAGTAATTTTCGATATTTGATCCGTTTTAAAAATACGCATAACTTGAAAATAATTATTTGTCAGAATCAGCTCAAACTTGCTATGTAGCATAAGGACATCAATGTATATCAGAAAATGTAATAAAAATTTGGGGTAATTTCGGAGCCATTTTTTGGAAAAAACCATGGGCTATAGCCTTGGGTATTTTTCAGATTTTTGCCATTTTTAAAAAATGGCCGTAACTTGAAAAATTGAAGTGGGAATCAGCTCAAACTTTCTACGCAGCATAAGGACATCAATTTGTATAAAAAAATGTAATAAAAATTTGAAGTGATTTCGGAACCATTTTTTGGAAAAAACCATGGACTATAGCCTTGGGTATTTTTCAGATTTTTGCCATTTTTAAAAAATGGCCGTAACTTGAAAAATTGAAGTGGGAATCAGCTCAAACTTTTTACGCAGCATAAGGACATCAATATGTATCAGAAAATGGAATAAAAATTTGAAGTGATTTCGGAACCATTTTTTGGAAAAAACCATGGACTATAGCCTTGGATATTTTTCAGATTTTTGCCATTTAAAAAAAAATGGCCGTAACTTGAAAAATTGAAGTCGGAATCAGCTCAAACTTTCTACACAGCATAAGGACATCAATATGTATCAGAAAATGTAATAAAAATTTGGGGTGATTTTGGAGCCACTTTTTGGAAAAAACCATGGGCTATAGCCTTGGGTACTTTTCAAAATTTTGCCATTTTTAAAAAATGGCCGTATCTTGAAAAATTGAAGTTGGAATCAGCTCAAACTTTCTACGCAGCATAAGGACATCAATTTGTATTAGAAAATGTAATAAAAATTTGAAGTGATTTTGGAACCATTTTTTAGAAAAAACCATGGACTATAGCCTTGGGTATTTTTCAGATTTTTGCCATTTTTAAAAAATGGCCGTAACTTGAAAAATTGAAGTTGGAATCAGCTCAAACTTTCTACGTAGCATAAGGACATCAATTTGTATCAGAAAATGTAATAAAAATTTGAAGTGATTTCGGAACCATTTTTGGAAAAAACCATGGACTATAGCCTTGGGTATTTTTCAGATTTTGCCATTTTAAAAAAATGGCCGTAACTTGAAAAATTGAAGTCGGAATCAGCTCAAACTTTCTACACAGCATAAGGACATCAATTTGTATCAGAAAATGTAATAAAAATTGGGGGTATTTATGGAGCCATTTTTTTAATGGCTTTAGAATCAGCTCAAACTTGATGTTACATGTATGTCAATTGATTTATTCTTAGTTGCTTCAGAAGAGAAAACTAACGTGTTCCTGTGGTTGAGCATGTTAGGATTACAAGGATACACTAACACTTTTGAGGCTAGTGGGTACGATGACGTCAAGTTTATGGTAAGACATTTCTTCAGTGATAGCAGCTGTAGTTTCATTTTGTTTATTAGGGAGGCGGTCTCCTTGATGTAGAGGATATAAAGCAGATGGGAATTTATGAGAACGACCAGGGGTAAGTACCTACGTTACCGTCACAAGGAAATTTAGTATCTTTTTATAGTACAATAATGATCAAAGTGTCAATACTGGCCCCGCCCCCTCGTTTAATTAAAGCTGATAGTGTGGAGGAGTGGCTTGAGTTCCTTCAGCTCTCATACCTTAAAGATTATTTTGATGGATATTCACTTAAAAAAATAGCATCACTCTGGGAGCTGGAACTAAATACGGTAAGACACATAATGTAAATCTTTATTATTATTATTATTATTATTATTATTATTATTATTATTATTATTATTGTTATTATTATTATTATTATTATTATTATTATTATTATTATTAATAGATATTTAGTGTTGATCTCCCATTGGGTCACAGAAAGAGGTTACTGTATGGTATTAGTGAATTAAAGAGGATTAATCCTGACTGGACTTTCCCTCCCTCCTCCACTCTCTTGCCCTCTAATCCTGCTCCTGGGAGTCCTTTTCTACGCGTCAATTTTGCTCGGGATTACACTAAGATCCAATCCTTAAAACCACACCCATCAAAGACGGACCAGCTAGAGTTGTTTGATGATCATTCACAAGTGAACTGGACGTCATCGAAATTACAAAAAACAACAACAGCTACTCCTACTAATCACACCTCCTCCAGCCGCACTCACTCTGATCCCACCCCTTTAGATACTCCAGTCCGTGGGAGTGAATGTGCAGCTGCTGATTCTCCTACTGATGATACTGATCAGGCTCTTCACAATGCCCCTCCTCCTAACCACGCCTCTTTTGATATCCCTCCTGCTCAAGTCAAGAACTACAGGACTTTAGTAAGACTATGAATAAAAACCATTCATTTAATAATGACCTTTCCTTCCAGTATTTAGGCAGTGCTTTGGTTCGAGGTACTACTGGTAGATATTCGGCTGAAGAAGCTTGTCTTAAGCTAAGAGTAAGCTCATGCTACCATACTGCTGGTGATTTTGGGCAGAAGAATTTTAGCAAATTTTAGCCATTTGGCCCATTTTAGAACCATTATATGCATGCTGAATCATGGCCACAAATTCAGCAACTTTAAAAATAGCCAATCACTAAAGTTTTGTACCTTTAATGTGAGACATGCAGAGACAAAGTCCAGTCATTTATAAATACAGAGGGAACATCATGTACGTATGTGTATGTGCCTACATATTTGACACATGTAATACATTGTACGTAATGGTATCCATTCATAAAGATGTCTTTCTTTAGACACAGACGGACAGCATAGCAAAGATACCTCAGATCATATTATCAATATCGTGGAAAGGAGTTAAATTTGTTAATGCAGACACTAAAGTGAGGAGTATTGATCGGCTGATTGTCACGTGACAGGTTATCTCTTTCATTAGATTGTAGTGAGTACACATTTGATAAGAGATATCTCTCACTGTTGTCCTGACATTGAGGACCCAAGAGTGTTTGCTTACATTACTAAAGATAAGGAAACCGATTGTAGCTATTGCCATGTTTTTATGGTCGAGAGCAAAGTAAGAATTATTATAAGTATACCTTTTGTTCAATGTCTGTTGCTTTGGAGGTTTGACTCTACTGATTTTAGCTTAAATGCATGTACATGTACATACATGTATATTGTTTTTGTGTCACTTTGATCGTTTATTGCAGGAAATAGCAGACGAGATTATACTGACTGTTGGTCAAGCATTTGAAGTTGCCTATCAAGCAGTCGTGAGAGCAAGATCAAAGTATAAAACAGTAAGAGAATTCATTATTAATAATTTATTAGTAATTAATGACTGTCTGTAGTCAAATCCTGAGATGACAAAGAAGGTTTCAAAGACTTCAGTTTTAAAACGCTCCTTTCGTAAGTTGAGCGGCAGCAAGAAGTCCTCCTCGCAAGGTATTGGTTGATTAGCTGATTCTAATTATTTTATTCTCTTTTTCTGTAGATAATGAAATAAGTTGAACTTTCCGTAATCATTGTTGTTGTTATTTTCATTATTTTTATGGTTTTTTTCATGTTTTGACTGACAATGTTTAAAATATATTTATTACATTAACAGTCTTAGCAGACCCTGCAGCACCTCCTCTCAGATTTATATCTCATTATCATGTAAGAGTAACACTGAGAAAAGAGCTAGTGAAACAGGATGTGATGTGATGTCTGAGTCAATTGCATTCATTTTCATTTTATTTTTCTATTTTTTTTGCATTGCATTAAAATTAATTATGAAGTGATTACATCCGGTTTCATAATTGAATTTTAATTCTTAATTAATTAAGAGCTGATTACATCCGGTTTCATAATTGAATTTTAGTTTCCATTAATGAACTGATTACATCATAGATATTAGAGTTTAGTTATAGTGACTTTGTAAACTCTAATATTAGTCTATGATTACATTTGGTTTTATAATTACATATTATTTTCCATTAATTATGAACTGATTACTATTTTGCACCAGCTATTCCTTAGCATCATGCCATCGTCATGTGAGTAGCAAATAGCAATAGGTTAAATATTGCATCATTTAACAACTGAAGCAGTAGAGGAAATGGTTGAAGTGTTTATCATACAACATTCCATCAAGAATAATAATTAGTAAACATGATCACATGATCATGTGACAAGAGGGAGGGAAGGAGGTGAGAGGGTAATAAGATCAAAGGCAGAGTGTCTGGCACTGCTAGTCTCATAAGGATTGTACTAATAGATACTTCCTTTCTGAGGAATACAACAGCATTCATATCATATTCACTATAATTAATTTATGATAAGGAACTGGATGTAAACAAAGAGTAAACAAGAAGACAAAATAAATAATCATTAGATATGTAACATAATGTACACAAAATTATCAATAGATGATACAATGATTTGATATGATGAGTCAATATGACCGAAAATGGAGAAAGAGAATGAGGGAGGATAAATAGAGAAGGAGGGCAAAGAAAAGAAAGAACATCAACAAGAATCTATTGATGTCTTAATAAGAGCATTGTTGTTGTTGTTGTTGTTTTTGGAGCTGGTTGTTGTTTTGTCTTGACTAATAGTGAGTCTTGAGTTAATGATGGAGAAAGTTATGAACATTTGAGCTCCATAATAGCTGATCATGATCAATGGCGTCTCATAAGGCAAGGGAGTACAGAACTTATTGACAGCCAGTACAGTATCGGAGAATGCAAACAATATTGCACCAGCTGCCGCATATATCTTCCTCCAGGGGATGTCCCCGTTTAAATTAAAGCGAGCGAGCGCCCTCCATGCTGTGAAAGAAAGAAGCATGGCATAGATAGGAACAATGGTTGACAGTGGCTGAGAGAGACAAGACGAAATGAAGTGAACAATGATTCCAGTTACTAGACTCGATAGAGCTAGTTCTTTAAGTCCAAACGGCTTGAGTCCAAACCCAACTGTATAAGCAATTTGGCCAATACCAAAGCAGGCCATGCCAGCTAGGAAGAAGGCATCATGCGCCTCTTGCCAAACCAGGAGTAGATCACCAAGGGCACAGGCGCTTAACCCAGCCATTATCCACTGGTTGTACTTGTTCTCTCTGAGCCCTTGGGCCCAAACGAAAGTAATTAAAAATGAAAGTGGCAGTAGCTTAATGACAGCGTGAGCGATGGTCCCTATCTCGGGATTTATGATGAAGTAAAGACAGGCGGTCTTGAGAAACGGGACTAGATAAGGTCCCACACATATCACCTCCTTCTTTATCTGTAAAAGAAAAGGTTAAGCTGGGTTTTAAACATAATTTAAACACTTACTTGACTTGTATCAAACAAAACCATCTCTTCCTTTTTGTCTTTTTTGTGTTTACAACCTAAAATTCCACGCGTTTTATATAACTACTGTTAATAAAAAGCCACGCCCAACACACCTTCTTCACACCCACACGCATGCGCAGTAGACAAAAGCGGGAAATTTGAACTCGAAAGCATATAGAATAATTTTAAAAATTAATATACAAAATATAATAAACAGCAACACACAGAAAAAAGAGAAGGAGAGAGTGAAAATATAAAATCATAAAGATCATCTCTTGTTAGCATTATTAGTCAAATGATTCTTATACTTCAATAAAAAGCACAGTGTACATGCTTGCTCAGGACAACACTGCTTGTGAAAGGCATGCCCTACATTGTAAATTAAATGTATAATATTAAACTGGATAACTAGAGGGCCCAAATTTTAACAAAATTCTATTTTTTGTGAAATAGAGGAGTAAATTTTTTGACTGAAGTATAGTCAATATGTCTCTCAGCCACGTCTATTCCTTACCACACTGGAATCCGATCCCACCTCTCTCCTTATCCGATATCCTATTCATCAATGAATGACCGCACAAGCCACACCTATTCACACAAACACATGAACAGACCATCAGGTGACTATCAGGTGACCACAATCACTTACCGACTGGTGCTTGTTCTAATACCCCAATGAGAGGCCCAGTCTTCCATAGTTATCGGCGATATCAGTGGGTATGGCAAAGGGGGTGGAGACATTATGTCTCGTAAAGCTTCAGTTTTTGTGGTATCATCATTCGTTTCTTCTTCAGTACTTTTAGCCTCGTCTTTTTGAAGTACTATAGACACGTGAGGTCCTAAAGTCGTGGGTCGGACAGACCAGAGATACCGATCAACCTTCTCTAGTAGATTATGAGCTATCGTCCTACAGAAATTTAAGTGAGTCCATAATGAGGTACACAAGTACCATCATGTACCTCTGTTCTTTGTGAACTGATGCTAGCCTCACAAAGAGCTCATGAAGCTGATGGGGCAGGCTCCATGATACACCGTCTAATGTCTCAAGAACCTTCCCAGTCTCTTCCACTCCGATCATACAGACCATTTCCCTGAGGACGACATCCCAGTTCAACCCATCAGGACTAACTGGATGAACCGGAATGACCAGTTCCACTAGCTGGCCTGTGAATGACTTCCAAACGCTCGTGGATTTGAATGGGTAGCCTGAGGAGGGAGAGAAGAAGGAGCTTATTAAGAAGATGGTTACTTCCTCACCATTGCTTGTTAGTTCGTGGAGTAGAGATGAACTTCTAAGATACGCTGCCACTTTAATCAATTGCTCTTTCTTTTTCTTCGACACACAAATCTGTACATAACCTTTCCAATATCTAGACAACAATATCAATTGATTAATTGATTGATTAATTCAAATATTGCCTTACCCCTCTCTTTCAAACATTGATGCAACATTTTCGACCACTCCCACTTCTGTTGAAGTACATGTCACGCGAGTCAAACCAGTCAAGCTGGTTTCATGAGGCCAAGACGCTAAATGACTTCCCTCACTAACAACAAACAACAATAAACAACAAACAACAACTAACACATCCTTACATAGGATTGCCTTGTTGGTCTTTCACTTCCTGTGTGGGCAGGGCTAAAAGTACAGCTGCCACAGATACTATGATAAGCTGTGGATCATTAAAATAATTCATCAAGTCCAAAGAGGACGGACTATGCTTGCTAAAAATAGCATCCAGGTATTTACAATAGGTAGTCAAATCGGCATTGACCCCCATTTTATCTTCGAAATAATCTAACTGACATAAAGCAATGACTTCCCACAGCTTAATGGAAGGGAAACTAGCCACACCTACTGATAAGAAGGCATTGGGATCCTTAGTATATAAACTATAAAATAATAATAATTAGTATAATGATAATTTGTAATTGCATACTTTGATAATGCTCTAGGGGTAATTAAAGGAGGCGTGTCACTCTCATTAATATCGGCACTGGTCTGATCCACTTCTTCTTGTTCCCCAGCTGCTAGTTCCCTCCAAACTGAAGTGGTCTTGGCTAGCTGAGCTTTATTAATATGAACTTTAATGACGTCATAAGAGAGGGCGTGGCTATAATAAGTAGCGATAAAATCAACAAACAGTCCATCATCACCGGGTCCCTTGGAAACACAATTTGCACCATCAGACCCCTTGGGTTTAATTTCAGACCCAGTATCAATTGATGAAGCATTATTATCCAAAGTTCCAGAATCAACCCCAGACCCCTCAGCTACAGGTATTTCTCTTTGTGTTCCAGACCCCTTTGCATCTTCAGACGACTCTTTAGATAGATCATCTCTGGACCCCTTGGAGGGGAATATTTCCATTTCCAAACACACAACGAGAAGCTCACTAACAGAGTCCTTTATAGGTGACAGGAAGTGGGCGGAGCTAAGAGCTTCCTTAAATGTAACACCAATTGACTCAAGGTGGGCATGATAGTTATGAAGTTGCCCCACCCACTTTAATAAGAGTTTCCTCATATTATCGGCAGAACATAAAACAACAGGAGAAGACAGCGAGTGCCTACACGTACATGTACATGTAAAATAAATAAAATAAATATTATTATTAAGACAAGCTTACATTGCTCCATTAACTGATTCCGTAAATTTCTCAGTTTCGCTATCCAAATGAACCGGCGAAGAAAAACTGGGCGAAGACTGAGAATCAAAACCCACACCCACTTCTGGACTAGTAAACCCACTACTGAGCT